TTCCGACTCGTCACTCTTTCCCGCTCACTCTCTCTCGCTCTCTCCTTCTTAACTCTCAATCTCCTCTACTCGGTAAACGGCTTCAGTCGACCCAGGTGACTGGCCGACTCCTCTGAGAGATTGATTGAAACAAATAGGTAGCCCGACAGGGCTGTTCAACGCCATGTCTGGGCGTCTATCATCCGACCACAACCGTTCCTTCTCGCAGTCCTCGCGACCCCCGTCTCAACAAGTCGATTCAATGCATCATCGTTCAATGTCTGGTCGCTCCTCCAATCCCAATGTCTTCTCCGACGAATACTCCTTAGAACCTATTGATGCCGAACAAGCCACTCTCACCCCTCGAAGCCCCTCCATCTCCTCCAGTGTCTCCTCCAACACCCTTCGTGGTTCGGTACCCCAACAGCAGCAGCCCAAGGCCTACAACACCATCCCTCCGACCGATGCCGAATTAGCTGAGGATCCTTTCGGCGATGAGGCTCGGGTTTCGTTCGATGAAACCCCCCACCGATCGAGTCTTCCTCCGAAGGGGGTGGATCTAGCGAATCGCAACTCCGTCGCGTCCACCGCTCCTTCCATCACCAGTCGCAGCCAAAGTGCCTCCTCGCGTTTCTCCATGCCCGTTCGGGCTTTGAGCCCCTACACGGGGGCAACCGGTCCCAGCCATCCGTATGCGATGTACCCGCAGGTCGGCGTTAGTCGCTCTCCCAGTGTGGCCACCACATCGACATTACGACCGGTGGACCGACCGTTAGAGGACACGACTGCCCCTCAGCATCCGTATGCAATGTACCCACAGAACGTGGTGGCAGAGGATGACGGAATTGACAACTCCATGGTACCTCTTGGCTTTCCCGGACACAACGCGCAAGTCTATCAGCGACCACCTAACCGGGCCGATGACGACCTTGGCGACTTAATTGGACCGGATGGTCATACTGAACAACTACCTCCTTACTCTCGTTATCCCGAAAATGCTGTTCCCAAAGTGGAGGGCACCTTTGCGACCGTCAATGATGCTGGCATCATACAAGACGAAATCCTCCATAATGAGCGTGCTGGACCACCCATGTCGGAGGTTTCCTCAAATACATTAGTGATGGAAAATACAACCAGTGGAGGCGGTAACGGTAACGGTAACGGTAACGGCAACGGTAATGGAAACAGAGGCCTCGAAGAGCCGCCGGTCACTGGGGTCATGGCATTTGAGGAGAAATTGAAGAGTAAAGGCAAGAAAAAGGCATGTTGTGGATTACCGGTCTGGACGCTGGTTTTGGTGGGAGTGGTTATGCTTATTGGAGGGTGCATTGGCGGTATTATTGGCGGCGTATTAGGGGCAAGAAAGGCAGCCGAGCAAGACCACGGGGGCCAGCCAAGTCGCCCACATATCGTGACGGTGACGGAGACGCCCAGGATGGACGCGACTCCAGTGACAGCCACGCCCACCAATCTGCTGACGCTTCCTACTGGCCAATACGCTATTCCCGCATCTCCTAAGAACCAGTCGAAGTTCTGCGTGGCTGATTCGGACTACCGGGTGTCGTGGGGTTGCCTCAATTCGGGCAAGATCCCTATCAATGTTGGAGGCACGGACGAGCAACGCAATATTACATTCGAGGACTCATACGACAGCGCTTATTCTTCTTCACTCACATACGGTGCCCAGCAGCCCGTCTTCTCTAACCCCACTCAGAATTTGAGTATGATGATGGACTCCAATGATCTCAGCTTTGGCCCAGCTTTGACCTTCATGACGTTCTATGATAAATTGGTCATTGTGCCGCAGGACAGCTTCCCATCGAGCTCGTCCTCCAAACGAGACTATGTGACTGAAGATGAAGTCGTGTCGAGTATGCTGAGTCGCAAGGAAACGGCTCAGGCTGGCGACAAGCCGTGGTTCTGTTGGTGGAATAGCACGGTCATGGAGTTCTTTTTGTACATCAATGAGACGACCAAGGAGTATCAGTACAGCAGCACCGCAGTTGTGACGACAACAAGCACCCAGATAGCGCAGGCCACTCAAGGGAGCTCGAACTCCTACTCCAAGAGAGACAGCAGCAGCAGCATCGCCGACTACCCTCGTCGGATCAAGATGGAGGAGAAGCGAGACAACCCTTCAGCCGCCAATCCATACTGCCAGCAGATGCAGGTCCTGGATGACGGCCAAGTCGGCCCAATTTCGCAAGAGACAGTACAAATCAAGGTGGTTCAACCCACGCCGACGACGACCGTGGAGGCCGCCACGGGGACATCGCAAACATATACGGCCAAGGCCGAATATGAGAGCTATTGCTATTGCATATCCCTGACGGACTGATGCGACAGGGCATGAAACCGAAGAACGAAGATGAAACGAGAGCGGCTTTTGTTTTCCAACGTGGCCTCATAAAACCACGGCGTCGGCGTTAGACCAAGGAACGATTTTCTTCTCGACTCACGTGCATATGAATGATTGTCTTGCGAAGACTGCTGGTTTATTTCCTGGGTATGAGATCCGGTACTATTGACAGACTACGGCGTGCATTCCGTGTATTGAACACCCCTGAAGCTGGGTGGCATTGTCCTTGAGCTATTTTCTGGTTGATTTTGGCTTGCCTATTTGCATTGGCACATTTTCACATTTTTGTCCGACAACAGTTCGGCGGCGTTTTTTGGGTGGGAAACGGTGCCAGGCACTATACACTACGGGCATGACAAGTCATTCGTTTAATTCTATCGAGGCCCGCAACTTCTGGACCTTTCCTTGCTGGTTTTTGTTTTCTATTACCTTGTTATCGGCGGCCATCAATGGGATGGCGTTTGGTATTGTGGCATTTCGACATGTTCTGGCAATATTGTCCGAATTCATTTGCTCTCATGGGCTGAATCAGCCAAGATAATAAATTCTGGGTTCAAGAAATGCTTTTTGGTCTCGCGGGCGAGCGTAACGAGTGCGTCTATTCAGTGGAACAGGTAAATCCTAAGAAATGGGGCGATGTTTGGTCGATCCATGAGTTGCGAGGTGAATGACCGGTCGGCAACGTCATGGCGATCGCGACATCGACCTCTGCCTACTATATAGGCGAACAGCCACTGAATGATGTTACCTCATACCATCTTTTTTCAAACTACTATCAACTATTTACCCTAAGATCTATCTATCTGTCTGCTAGATTGTTATATTTTCCACCACAGATATACCATCAATTACCAAGTTTGCTACCATCACCTACATCATGAGCGTCTTCCTCCGTAGCCGCCTTTCTCTACGAGCCACACCCTCCTCCATCACCGCCCGCCAACTGGCACCTCTTCGCAGCGCTCACTACCCCCTGGGACAACGCCTCTACGCTCACAGCTCATACGGGGGCGATGGCGAAACCGAAGCCCAGCAGCCCAATAACCCGCGGAACCAACCCACGCGAGACATTGAACACCCAGGTATGCAGCAGTGATGTTATACACCGGTCGCATAGAAGCTGATCATTCAATTCAATTTATTTAGGACCGCCTGCACCGGACACGGGCTCTGCGAAGAGCAGCAGCGGCAGTAGCAGCAGTAGCAAGGAGCCATCGAACAAGGCCCATCCGACTTTAGCTGATGGGGATCAGTCGCCGTATGTCGATAAGGATGGGAAGACCTCAGCGGATGCGCCCGAGGATGTGAGACGGCATAATGAGGAGATTGAGAAGAGGGCGGATCGGCCGTCGGAACGGGTTGGTTGAGTCAGTCTTTAATTGTTAGTGCGTTTGTGTTTGTGTATGTTTTGTATTTATTATCTGTGATGTGGAATAGATTGTGGATGGAATAAATAGGACTACGATATGAAATCTATGTTGTGAGGGAAAGAGAGAAAGAGAGGAAGTCCGTGCCCTGTTCTGCTCCGGATAGTACAGTAGGAGTAAGTCTAGTCTAGACTGGCCACGTTACGACGAACGCGGATCTCCCGCGGCAATAATAATACCTAACCTAACTCACCTCTTTTCTCCTGACGACAACAGTTCCAATCTGTCTGTCACCACTCACCCACACACACTCGCTACTCTATCCAACTGAATCCATTCCCTTTCATTTAACTGTCAAAACACAATGGGCGCCGAAAACAAATACTCGGTCATCCTGCCGACCTACAACGAGCGCAGGAACCTCCCTATCATCGTCTGGCTCCTGGAGCGGACCTTTCGCGAGAAGTAATCCCATCCCAATCCCCCCCCTCATACTTCCTTCCCACCCCAAGTACAAGACATACTAACGAAGCACAATAATAGCAACCTAGACTGGGAAATCATCATCGTCGACGACGGCAGCCCCGACGGCACCCTGGACATCGCCAAACAACTCCAAAAGCACTACGGCGCGAACCACATCCTCCTACACCCCCGAGCAGGCAAACTCGGTCTAGGAACGGCCTACATCCACGGCCTCCAATTCACGACCGGCAACTACGTCATCATCATGGATGCCGACTTCAGTCACCACCCGAAATTTATCCCGGAGATGATCCGCATCCAGAAGCTGGGGGACGCCGACATTGTGACGGGCACACGGTACGCGAGCCGTGATGGCATCAAGGGTGGTGTGTACGGATGGGATCTGTTCCGCAAGTTTACTTCCCGCACGGCGAATCTTATTGCGGATGTGATGTTGATGCCTGGGGTGAGTGATTTGACGGGCAGTTTTCGGTTGTATAAGAAGAGTGTGCTGGAGAAGGTTATTCATAGTACGCAGAGTAAGGGGTATAGTTTTCAGATGGAGATGATGGTCCGCGCGAAGGCCATGGGGTTCAGGGTTGCGGAGTGTCCGATTACGTTTGTGGATCGGTTGTATGGCGAGAGTAAGTTGGGGGGAAGTGAGATTGTGGAGTATTTGAAGGGGGTGGTGACGCTTTGGTTGAAGGTTTGAATGAACTATTATACTATGTATGTAGTTGGGTGGTGTGGGTGGTTTTCTTTTATACCCTCTTTTATTTTTTATATTTTATTCTCTCTAGCTTGAGTGCGATGTATAGTATCTACTGGGTTCAATGTGTGTTTGTCTGCTGTCTAGATATCTATATGACTTATAGGATGTGTTGTATGGGTTAAAGTCTGGCCAAATACCCCCTCACTCTCTCCACCAATTCCACTTGTCCAACATCCTGCACATTATGACTCGCCCCCTCAATCACCGCACTCCCCTCCCCATCCCATTTCACCTCTCCAGCCCCCTCGTCCGTCACCTTCTGCCACCTCTTCATCAACCCCTCCACATCCAACCCCGGCTTCCTATACTCATCCGCCCCCGAATACAACGCCATAAGCCTTCCCCCCAACAGCCCCCTCTCTCCCACAACCCCAAACGTCCCACGGAGCTTCTCATCCCCCAAATCCGCACTAAACAAATCATCCTGGCTCGGATTCTCAGGACTCCCGGGACTCGCCAGACTCAAAAACCGCCACGCATTGACCGGCGTCTCCGCATCCAATCCCACCAAACTCGTCAGATTCAGCGGCAAAATCGCCCTCGGATCCTCAACCACAGCAGCCTTCGCCAATCCAACCAGCTGCTCGTAGGCACCTCGCGCCTCGGCCGTAGTGATAGTGATGTGCATTCCCTCGCGGTCCGAAACGGGCGCTTGCATGATTGCGCCATCGACGGGGGGTCTGGTGAGGTATTGAAGTCCGTTGACGGCGGGGTTGTGTGGGATTGGGTTCGGGGCTGAGAGGTAGTGAAGCACGTCTTGGGAGCCTGTCGAATGGCCCATTATGACGATCTTGAATTCAGGGCCTTTGAGTTTCCGGATGTAGGTTATGCATTGGGCAAGGTCTTCGATGTCGCGGTCGAGACTGTTCACGCCCCAGCCTTGGTAGGAGGTTGTGAGGAGGACGTTGAAGACGCTCCATGTGTTCTTGTTGTTGGGGGTGGTAGTAGTTGTGGTGGAGAGGGCGGAGGCGAGGGTTGGGACGTAGGGGACTGTGAGGAGGCCGTCGGTTAGACCGCCGATGAAGAGGAGGGCGTTGGTGCTGGGGGTGCTGTTGGGAGGGGTGAATTCGAAGGCGACGAGGCGGGGGGCCTGTGATGGTTAGTTATTTGGTTTGGTTGCGTATAGATTTGGAGGGATGGAGGGGATGTACGTAGTGGTGGAGAATGCCGGGGTGAGACATGTTAGTTGGTTGTGGTTGTGTATGTGTTAGAGTGAGGATGTCTGTGTGTAGTAGGGTTTTGGGGGTAGTTTCTTGTCAGATAGATGGTAGGCAGAAAGTTGTTAGAGCATTGCTGCTAGCTGCGATGGATTGTGGTTCAAGAGATGCGCAACTACTGCCGGCCCACTGCTTGCATGAGCGGGGTCTTTTAGCGTGGACAGGCTGATACGGAGGTCGTTGGATAGTAGCCACATGAGAAACAGGATAGATGAGTAAATACTAGCAGTAAGAGCTATGCTCACTTATATACAGCACGCTATCAATTAATCCAATGCCAACTTATACTCCTACAAGATTCATCTCATAGTCTGACTGAATGATGCCGGTATCACACTAGTGGGGCGTAATGCGTATTTACAGGTACCGCCAAGCCCACTTGCCCGGAAGAGGAAAATAGCATAGCTCCATCCATCATTCTTCATTTCAGTTATCTTTCTTTTTCTTGAATTTCCCCGCTAATCCATGCTTCAGTCTCTCAATCGCAAAGGCACAATCCGTCTACAGCATGCCTGATAGCTAGCGCAGCGATTGCCCGCCAGCAGCCAATAAACCTACCCGCTTACCGCAGCTCATACGCAATGCGACGAACATCTATTCTGACCCTCTAGGAAATCGCACTTAGTACTCCGCACTTTGCCCAATTCACAATGCCTCGTCCCCGCAGATCCAATCGCGCCTCTGGTAACAGGACAAAATACGTTCATGACCCTTTCGAAGCGGCCGGTCTTAGCGACGAAGGAGAGGGTCCCTCCACCTCCGAAACTCCGCAGCGCAAAAAGGGCAAGGGAAAGGCGAAACAAGCTGTCGCGGATGAGGGCTCCTCGGACGAAGACTTTGCCATGAATGACGCCAATGGAGATGACGACGACGACGATGATGATGACGAATACAACGATAATGACGTGGAAATGGTCCTTGAGAATGAAGATGAAGATGCAGAGGAAGACGACGATGCGTCGGCCTCCGAAGTTGACGGGGCCAGTCGTCGTCAGCGGAAGAAGCCCGCTGCTGCCGCTACGCCAAAGCCCAGCAGCAGTGTTAAGAAACGCCGTCCGGATGGGAGTCTTGCTGTTCCCGGGGAGGAGACGCATTCGCGCGGATCATGGAACCCCCTTGAGCATGTTGGAAAGGCGGTTCATCTGCGCGTTACATTCGGCACGGATGAAAGGGATATACTTTCTATTATAAGCGCGCGGGATCGCTGGTATAAGGGGGTCGATTCTACGTTTCCGACGCGCGAGACTTTGAACGAGTCGCATGATTTGCCGGATTATGGATACGGGAATTCATTTGGCTTGGAGGCTGAGGATATGAAACGGGAAAGCTCCCGTGCATGGGACTGGTACTATAGTAGGGATGTGGGTGCACCGTTTAGGAAGAGGCAGCGCATTCAGAAGCTAAATGAGAATGACGCTCGCTCGGTCTACTTTCCTCGTTCAAGGGGACCACATACCGTGCTCGCTGGCCCGGTTAATGACCAGAAGGTCTTTTCCCTCGCCCAGCATGATGTGCTTGATTTCGGCGAGGCATGGGATGATGATGCTTCTACAGCTCAGAAACAGGGGAAGCAAGCAAAGACAAAACAGTCTGAGCGAAAGAAAAAGAAGCGAGAGGGTTGGCTTCTTAATTTAGGGAACAAAGTCCAGTGTTTGGCCTGGGTGCCAAATCAAACTGGCCTCACGCAGTATCTGTCCGTCGTGGCACCAATCTTACCAGGCCAAAAAGAGCAGTATCCAGATCCGTACAAAGACCAGGCGGCTCCAGCATTCAGACCCTCAGCGCCTTATCCGTCTGCCCTGCAGCTTTGGGAGTTCAAGGCTGAAGAAGCCGCGTCACTAACCAAGACAACCGATATGACCTCCAAGCCGCGATTACGCCTCGCGCTGTGTACCGACTGGGGAGATCTGAGGAGAATGGCCTGGTGCCCAATGCCTCGAGACCCGCGGAATGAAGACGACAAAGACGCGCAGAAGAACGTCGGCCTACTGGCAGGCATATGGGGAGACGGCCGGGTGAGGGTCATCGACGTCAAACTGAGTCGTGACCCGGACCAGACCGAATACTGTACGTCCACCTACCAAAGCAAAGCCCAAGGCGCAAACTAACTGTTCAGACAAACTGCAATCCCCCGTCTTCGAGGCAAAACCACATTCGACCGTATGCACCTCTGTAACATGGCTCTCTCCCAGCGACATCGCCGTAGGCTGTGCCAACGGATTCGTCGCCATCTGGAGCATCGTCTCATCGCCATCCTCCCCCTCCAATCCCATCCCCTACTTCTACCAGCAACTCCACTCGACGTGGATCCTCAACCTCGCCTCCGCCTACCCAACCCATCCCTATCTCATCAGCACCACCTCCATGGACGGCGAAAGCCGACTCACCTCCATCATCGACCCCCAAAAAGACAGCGTCAGCGCAAACCGCATGCGCGTAGGCACCGCTCACCTCACCTACTCCCCACTCCTGCACTCCTTCGTCTCGGGCGACGAGAACGACTTCCTGCGCCTCCTCGCCATCCGCCGCTTCTTCACCTCCACCGCCGTGGCTCGCCTCCCAAGCATGGTCTCCGCCCTCGGACCCTGCAGCTTCTGGCACCCAAGCCTCCTCGTCGGCTGCACCGGCGGCACCGTGCAAGCCACGAATCCCCTCCGACGGATGATGCACGCCAAGGAGAAACAATGGCAACAGACCTGGTTCCAGCATGAGTGGGCGCGTGGCTCAGGCACAGGAACAGGCACTAGTCGGTTTCACGACGGCTACCGCGCCGAACACACCAGCTTGCTGCGTAATCTGGTCGGTGACCCGAGACTGATTAACGGGACGGCGGTGATTACGATCTTTGATGAAGAAACACACGTCACTGCGCTCTCGTGGAACCCGAATCGCGTGTGCGCCGGGTGGGCTGCGGCGGGGATGGGATGTGGCCTGGTTCGGGTTGAGGATTTGGCATTGTCGTGAGATTTAGAAATCAGTATTGTCTGATAGTAGAGACGAAGAACATATTGGTCATAATCGAAGGACCAAAAGAATACCTGTTCGACCGCTAAATGTATTACGTAGACTCTCATGTCTGAGTATCATACATGCATGCAGGGTCCGTCGATCAGCAGCATCTTGAAGCCTGCCTGAGGCTCGTAGGGGAGCATGCGCGCCTCAGTAAATACTGATACTACTCTCTTGAGGCATGAATAATATGACGTTCAAATGCAAGACCAGGCACATATACCTAAGGTATATGTATGTTATGCCGTGGAGAATGCGAATACTAGTAACGGTTAAGTAGCATAAGATGATGTACCCCTACCATACGAAAACAACGAACTCATTGAACAGAACCATCGGGACTACTGATCGGTCTATCTAACAAAGACACCGTGACATATATCACAGTGGCCCATATACTGCAAGTAAATTGTTACTAGCTAGCTACTATACGCTCTCCACATTTTTCTGTATTAAGTACCTAAGTCGACGGAAATAACAGCTACAGCCAACCTTAGTAGTGAGCAATTGCAGATGATGACGTCTCGTCTCATCTAAGGTCATGTCATGTCATGGCATGGCATGACTCTCTAAATCTTATCTTCTCGTTGAATAAGAGTGCGTACGTATCACTATTCAGATTCTCTCCTGGAGATTACTTACTTTCCGGAATCTTCTAAGTGATTTGCGTCATCTCGGTCATGTTTGATATTACTATAGTTCAATAGTTCCTGGAGGAGGGGGTGTTCATGTACAGGGATGGATGGCGCGATCTTTCACAGTTCTTCTCTATGTACTCTACGGTGCGAGTCAGATGAAGGGATATTTGGGAAGTATAGATGTAGCGTAAGCTTGAAATATGGGTTGTTAATTAGGTCTAGGTGGATATGCTTTCTTAGTGTAGACTTTCCTAGTTGTGTTGGGGTTATCCCTGTAGGTGTAAGTGAGAGAAAGTTAGTACTATCTAGTTTGGATTAGTTCGTGATGGTGTAGTATTATTATTGTTTACCTCTTGGGTTAGTTAGGGTATATGTGCTTTGCTTTCTCTGTGTTAATTAGTTTCTGGGATATTTGACCAGTTTTCCATTCTACTGATATGTTACTTATTTCCAGAATCTACTTTAATCGCTGCTTTTTTTTTTCTGAAGTAGTATTTAGAAGAAGCAATCATACGATCTACAAACATATATCTATACTACCTACGACGGAGTAAATCCCTCAAGGCATATCGGAGTATATCTACTTGCAACGCCGCGGCCGGAGATATTATTACGCGGCCCACCGTGCATGAGATAACCGCTGGCCACGAACCAACTTCATGTCCCCATGGCTGTGGCTTTTTTAACCGCTAACTCGGTCACACCGCAGCCAGATGCGTTGAGCTGTTCCTTGGGATCGGCACGGGGGACCGTGGGCGCTTGCATGGTCGATCACCGAACCTCGAGAAGGTGCGTGCTAGATAAAGGGATTTTATTGGGTTGAGCAGTGAGCCACTAAGATAGGATATACTTAGTAACGCCTGAATGGCTGGAATCCATGGCGCGAGTGAGTTATTTTGGATGGATAGCTGTAGATATGGATAGAATCCATGAACAAAATCTCGAATCACACTGCAAAATACTACCATAGCAGTAGCAGCACTTACCTATACAGGTAAACAGACAACGGTTCGACGCGTAACACACCAGATATCACTGTGTCCGTCGTAGAGTGCATGCTTCTTCCCTATGCATCCGGAGGTGCCGTAGGAGATGCAGGCAACTTCGAAACCTGAGTTGGCATCTAGATCTGAGGGAATACGGGGAAGGAGATCCCGAGGACCCTGCCTGAGCTGGGCTGTGATGCGCTGTGATGTGATGTGATATGATATGCCCATGGCAAAATGCTGATCCTGCTTTATTAGCTATTATCCCTGTTGCGGTGCCATGCCTAAAAGGGAGTAAAGATGAGGGAGGGAAAGGGATGATGAGTCTTTAGCGTTTGGTCATTATCGTTACTGTTATTCTGTACCACACATTCTGTGTTTCTGCTGTCGAGATAAGGTGTAAACGGGGGATAAGTGGCGCTCACACCGCCGCCATGTTAATGCTCCGGTAAGCTCTGCTGGAGGTTAGAAATTCAGAGCATGACGTAGACGTGATGGGGATCTACGGTCCAGACTTTAGACATTGTGTGATCCAAGCAGGATGTAGTAAGTACGTAGTAACAAGGGCAATGAGACAGTCTGAGATGAACCTGGACTGGGGCTGTGAGGGGATCAGCGAGGAAGTAGATTAGAGAAAAGTGGATCCTCTCCCCAGCCACTTTGGATTTGACAGCAGAGGAGGGCCCGGTCAGGTCACGGGATTTCCAGCTTTAATTAGCACGTTTAGTGCCATTTTCTTATTTTTGGCGCGACATTTAGTAGATTTAGTTAGAAAATAAAAGTACGTAGTTATTTTCTTTCATTATCTTCATCCATTGGCCATCTAAATCATGCTGCCTGTCCAAGATATAATTGGCACAAAAGAAATCAATTAACGCACAGGGTCTTTGCCGCTGGGAAAACGGCGATCCGTTGTTCTAGTGCCCTTCTGCCCACCAGAAACCAACGTGGCTGGCAGAAACAGACTCCATCCATCCCATCCCAGCCTCCTTTGACAGTATCATGATGCGCCAGCCTGCACCTTTTTTTTTCTCCCCGACGATGGAGCTTCGTGCCGTGTATGATGGCATATACATCTGCCGCACCCGTGTAGATCTTGCTTGCTTGTCACTGATTTGGTTTTAATTTATTTTTTCTAGGCGCCAATTTTTTGTTGTGTTCATAGCCTGGTTGGTCGGTGTGTGTGTGCTGTGTCGCTGGTGAATCCAAATCATAAATTGAGCCCTTGTCTCGTCGGTTGCTGTTGTTGCTCCAGTTTCAAATCACTCGGTCTAATCAAAGGACTCTTATACTAAGCATTCTAATTTTCTCATAATCCTTGTTTTTCCTGATAAACTACCTAGCTTGTTTCTCTGCTTCTGTGTTATATCTGTCCTGGTCTTCCCTTACATTCAGCATCTACAGACCTTTCCATATTGCACCGGCAGCACCATGCATACCGCTGCTCTCTTCCTCGCTCTCTCCCTCTCTGCCCATGCGGTGCCTGTCCTCAATGCTCGTGGGAACGACACCGTTGAGCGTAGAGAAGAAGGCCCTTACAAAGTTGTGAATGTTGCGGGCCCTACTACTCCCGTTGTCGAGACCATCACTGCGACTAACCCTCCGGCGCCGCCTACCACTATTACCGTCACCGAGTACCCCTCGTCCACACCAGCTTCCGTGCCTGGCGCTTCTCCCTCACCTTGGAATGCCGGGCCTAACGTGGGTGGTGCTCCGCTGGGTCGCCGTGACACCAACAGCAGCGCAAGCGCACTGAGCCGTCGTGCGATATTTGAGGAGGATGCTCCTACCAACAGCACTGCCAACCGACGTGCGATATTTGAGGATGCTCCTACCAACAGCACCTTGAGCCGACGTGCGATATTTGAGGAGGATGCCCCAACCAACAGTACCGCGAGCCGACGTGGAATCCTCGACGATGCTAGTAACAGCACTCTGAGCCGTCGCGAGATCATTGGCGATGCTACCAACAACACTGCGAGCCGACGTGCGATGTTTGAGGATGTCGATGCTACCAACAGCACCGAAAAGCACGTAATTGCCGCTCGCAGCAACACCACTTCCGAAGTTCTGGCTCGTAGCCTGAATGAGACAGCCGTGCAGACTCGGCAGCTCAAGGATGCCCTTGTTTCCGAGCACCACAATGCCAGCGATGTTAGTGGCAAGATCGGGATTGCAGCCCGGGATACTCAGAAGCCCGAGAACGTCACCGCTATTGGCAGCAAGGTCGCAGTCTACACCCGGAATGATACAGTTTTGCAGGCCCGGGCATTCAATGACACCCCCTCTGACACCGCCGTCATGTCTTCCAGGCCCCAAGCCAGGGGCCTGAACCACACAGACTCTCAGGCGTAGAGTCATCTTCAGGGGTCAATTGTGACGCTTACCCAGGTGCCTGCCATATCGTCCTGGAGGTTGATGAATTGGTTGCCAACGACTGGTATGAAACACGTTTCATGAATTTGATGGATAATGAGCATGTGGTTCTTTAACGATTTCGGTTTTTTGCATCGTCACGACAAAATCATGACTGCTCATGGTGGGGGGTGGGAATATGGTCATGATAGCATGCATCTGTAGGGGCGTTTTGATTTTTCTTTTTTTCCTCTTCCTTTCATTGCTTTTTTCTTTTTTCTCTTATGGTTCTCTGGCGGTTTTATGCTCTCTTGTGGGAAAGGCTTTTCTTGATTTAGATAAGAGGTAGCGATTGCTTTCGTTGCGATTTCGGGTTCATACTAGGTCTAGATTGTGGTTGGGTTATTTTAGGTATAGGATAGATTGCTATAAAAATAGGAATGGCTTGATTATATACGAAGAAGCACTTGATTTAATTACTAGTTAGAGGACAGCAAACGGACTGACTAAACCGGCCGCAGTTAATAACTAGTTACTTGTTTGTGATGGCAAGCAGTGTTCAGAGACACATGAATGGATAACAGCATATCATTGTATTACATTAAGTTATTTTACTAAGATCATTGTTTATTATGGCTTATTATTCTTTCATATCGTTTTTTTTTTTTTTTTTTTTTTTTCAATACTTCTCTTCTATTTGATACTGTAGTCTAGATGTACTAAATGGAACCGATTTAACTAAATAGTTTTTACTCGGCAGTGAGGTCAAAATCTACTGGATTATAACTGCATCATGGGCCCTGTCTATATATCTATTTATTGCCCTCTTTGGATGGAAAGGTGGAGGAGAGATAAAAGCGGACACTTTTTGGCGTAGGTACATGATTTTACATCGAGCTTCAGACGGTGACTTAGTAAATCTCATGGTCAAGCATAGCATCTATTCAACCGCGCCAGCCTTAACGAGCAATTCCACCATTCTGGGGAGCTCCTTCGATCGGGCAAACTTCAAAGCTGTGCCTGTGATACCATCTTGCTCACACTGCTGATTCAAGTCTATCCTTCCTGAATCCAGTAACAGCTTGACCATGGCCTCGTCATCCTGCATGACCGCCTCAACCAGTGGTGTTATGCTTCCCGAGAACGATGGGTTCGTCTCTACCGCCTCCATATCAAGCAGTAGCTTCACCATGTTATATCTTCTTCGGTACACTGCCATTGCGAGCGCGTTGTATCCAAAGTAGCACCCATTCATATCGATGCCTTCGGTATGAACGAGCATGTCGACCATCTCGTCGCTTGAGAAGCGCAATGCGAAGATCAACGGTGTACCGTTGTCGCATTCGTCGCGGATATTGGCTATGCCACTATCAAGCAAGCATCGCACGCTTGCTACATGATTTGAGTATATGGCACAGGAGAAAGGAGTACGACCAACTCTGTCCTTCATATCCCAGTCTAGTTTCCCACAGTCAAGCAGGAGATTTAGGACCTCGACATTACAACAGGATGCAGCGACGTGGGAAATCCTCTGTCTCAGATGATAACTCCAAGCGTCTTCGACCTCCTCATTTTGAAGGATTCTCTTGACAACCGAAGTCAGGCCGAGTCTGGCGGCCATCCACAATGTATTGCGGGTTTCACCACTCCTAAGCTCATCCCCCCACCAAGAGGCAGAAACATCGGATTTTGGATCACAGAGTCTGGTGAAGATTGGCTCCAGTTTCTGGTCATCTTCCAGTGCTGCAGCCTGTATATGGGAAGACCACCCGTCAGCAGAATATTCGGAGAAGTCTTGATTTATGTCAATCGAAGTTAGATTTTCAGCTGAATTGGTCTGATGAGCCCGTGGCATAAACTTGTCGATATATGTGATGCAGCTGATTGCAAGGACGCCTTGTGCCTCCTTTGGATCAATTGGGCCACGTTCGCTGCAGCGACCAAAGCCATTTTTCTGCGCCAGGAATTCTCGTGCTGTTTGGTGTAGGAAGAACACCTTCTTGTTATTCACTGTTAAAAGTAAACCACACCAGCTTCGCAACGAGGCCTGAAAGTCTTCGTCCGATTCTAGATCCAGCTCATCTGAGTCAAGGTCTAGATTGACAGCAATGTTCATCTCCGTCAACGTCAAGGGACGGAATGCAGCCAGCATAATGCAAAAGGCCTTTCGCGCCATGTCCATGTCCTCAGATTTACTAAGGATCTTGCAATATGAATCGTTGACGTCCTTGGGGAGCTTATCGATGAAAACCCTGTCAATCCCTTTTTTGACTTTTTGAAAGCTATGTGTTTCGAAGTATTCAAAAACAAGATGGACCCAAAGGTATGTCCGGTGCTCCATTCGAAGTAGTCGCTCTTCCAGGTAGCTCTGGATGGGGGCAGAGAGACGCTTCTTTCGAGCCAGGCGCTCAACACGATGTTTGATGACGATGTTCACTTCTTGGCTAATCTTGTCGGATTCATTTTCGCCCGGTATGTGAATATGGGGAGAATGATCAATGAGCTCTTGGAATTCCAATATGATATTTTCGTACGGTCGGCTGGTCAGGAAGAACCTAGCCCTGGTTTCACCATCGTTTTGAATGAACTTAATGTTGTCTGTCAGGTCAACTAATTCGGATTCCTTGCATTCATCTAGCGCATCCAACACAAAGATGGTTTGTCCCATAGCAGGGTCCTTGATGACCCGGGAAAAGATATCCCAGAGCTTAGTAACCACGTTGACGGTTTCCTGCCCGTTGTCATTGATTACGTTCATTGCAAGCTTGATCAATTCAGGCTTGTTCGTGAAGATCTGATGCAGCAATGCGCAGATAGCTTGCTTCTGTGTATTCTGGTCTCCATCTTTGAAAAAAAAGTAGCATATCGTGGCGGATGGATTGCACTGGGACAACACATTGTCGATGAGATGCTTGGCAAGAACAGATTTGCCACAACCAGGATCTGCTGAAACGATCAAAAGCCCACTATCATCGTCCAGCCACTGGTTAAAATGGGGCTGTTCTAGAAACCATTCGCAGGTGCCCTCGAGTCGATCATCAACTCGGCTCTTGTACAATTCATAGGAAGAGTCCTCCTCATTTCTGGCCAGGCGGAAAAGCTGCCTACATCTTTGTTCCTTGACCGACAATGCTTCCTCATGCATCTGGCGTTGGAGGTTGAGAGCCTCGATATCCACTTCAAGGTGCCGTTGTGCCAATGGAAGAAGCTTTTGCATTGACTCAAAGTTGTGGCGAGTACTTTGTTCCACTTCGTTTAGATGCCGTCGGGATACCTCGGTGCTAATGGTGGCAGCATCTTGCTGGACCAATTTTTCCAGATCTTTGACCGAGGAAACCATGCCGTTCCAATCTTCTGGTTGGAAGATATCACCAGCGAAGTTTCGCTGCCAGCTGCGATGGAAGCGCAGAACACTCTTGACCTCAAAGTGCAGGATTTCCTGGTACAACTTGACAATGTTGGCATTGAATTGTTCTTTCAGTCCCGTATGATCCGAGCTCCGGCTGGAAGTTGACCACAAAATCCGCTCCAGTTCGACATGATAGCGAATGCGACCGGTGACATACGTGAATCCACTCTTGTTGGCCTGTGCCGCACTCTGGGGGTTCGTCAGCAATGGCAGGACAATGCAGACCCCTGCCCATGCCAACGACGCTTCTGGCGATGCCTTGACCGCTTCTCCAATGAAGTCTTTCACGGACAAAACCCAGCTTGCAGCTTGGGCCAAGCCTTCCTGAACACCCGTCCTTTGGATTTCTGCCTGATGAAGCCCGTGATTGATGATGATGTCCAAGTCTTGTTGGCGGTTGGTTCCATTCTTGCAAGAATTATCATCTTTCCTTGTTAGTATTCAATACCCAGGAAAAGTAAGAGAAACTTACTAATCTCCTGTCTTTGTTTCGCCAATAATTCTTCATATCTTTCAACCAAGCCTGGATCGAGATTCTTATACGCCTGGTCCCAGAGCGATTCATCACGGGCCAGTGTTTCCTTGCTGAGAGAAGCATTGGTTGCCTTCACAGGCCGATCTTGTTGAGCTGGCCGAGGACCAACTGCCCCGTTTGCAACGGCCGTGTTTGCTGGCTGAACATGTTTTTCGTGCGTTGGCTTCTTTCCAAGCAACCTTTTCAATCCCAAACAACCCATCTTGCCCGTGCGTGTGCTGTGGGTGTTGACGGGGGGAAGAATCTGTCATGTCAAGTCCGATTCTCTCGTCTGCGGCTGAACACGCAGCAGCTGAAAGATACGGCCTAAAGACATGGCCTAAAGGCACGGTCTAAGCACCTAGTGAAAGGCGTGATAGGCGCGTTAGGCGTGATTGCTTTTGCTGCTCCACCCCGCGGAAGTCCATCCCCGAATCCGCTACCGAGGGCAGGGATGTACAGCCAGTGGTTTCCATTACATTTTTGGACGATCTATCTTCCTTTCCATTAACCAAACCTCTCCACTTGCGGAGAAGATGTCCAACAACTTATCGACGGAGTAGACTTCATCCGTACTGAGGGCATTCAATTTGTCGTTGACGCCAGTTAAACCCGACGTAATTGATGTGTTCGTAAAGACTGGGTATATGGACTGTTCTAAATCGAGGCTCGACCAAATGAATAATCGAGCTTCGCATACGGAATATATGCCTAGAGATGGAAGTCAACAGGCGCTATGGTTTCCCTACGCAAGGACGAACTGATGGCAATCCTCTGCGCCAGTGGAAACTGCAATGCTTGTTCAATACCACAATGTCTCATAGCACACTACATCCAGTTGACTAGCGGGCTTGAACCTCCGCCAGAGTTTACCCCGCATGAGGGTGATCTTTATAGGCGCATTAGGATGACCTTTATATGTGCCCCCCATGCGTGAGTAATGTCACCCCATCTGCCTTGCGTTTTTGAAAAACCCCTCTGCTGGCACTGTCGGCAGCCTGGTCATGCCATTTGATCTCTCCCGGCTTCAGGGAGTGCGAGAGATAGAGACTAGCAGAAACTAGACTCGGAAGACATGATTTGTCTTTACCATGAAGATATCGACTTCACTTTCCCAACGATATTCGGAGTGTCTTAGGACCTGTGTCTTTGGCCAGCCTGCTGCTAGCGAACAATAGTTTATACCCTGCCGTGATCGGGGAACGCGAGACGAGGTGTGACGGGTGTGGAGATGGTGGGATCCAGAGGCAATCCAATGAATTGATTGAACTCTGGTTCATTACAATATGACCACGTTATCTTTCATTTTTGTCGATGTTAGGGAGTTGAGTGCAGTTGAGGGACGTTGTCCCCTGCAGAGAAAGACAACTGAGATGAGGGAACAAGCTGTCAAATGCCTATCCAACAGCCTGTTCGGTCACCAGCACGGGGTCAAGGCATTCTTCACATATTGGCCTGGCAAGATATACTGGCACTCAAAAGTATTAGTACGAGACTCTTCAGAGGGTCGCGCTTGGTGCTCCCGTGGTAAAAGTGCATATCACGATATCTATATTCTCAATCCTTGAGAAGAAAGAAAGTATTTATACCTGGGGAGAGTGTGACGTACAGCAATGGGGCGGGGATTACATAACCCACGCCCAGCCCCAGGCCGTAAACTAACTGGCATTCTGATCGCATGTCCGCATTCGCATTCACCTTCCCATCCTCCCACCTTCTCCTGCTCCTGCTGTCCCTTTTATCCTACTCCTGTCTATGGATCAGGAGCTGTTTGAATCCCCGCCTGATCTTCTAGCGCATCGTGCCTTTCTGTTGCTCCCATCCACGAATTCCCCTCTCCGCCCCTCCCCCTTTCCGACCAGGTGTTTACCGCCCGATTCAAGCCACTGAGTCCGACACTCCCCTCAGATCATCACCTCATATCCGCCATGGCCACCCCGGTAGCGGCCCCCGAAGACCAGAGCCGTCTCCTCGAGGAGGCATTGGGAGTCGTGCGGCAACAGTCGCAGATGATGCGAAAATGCTTGGAAACTCCGGGGAAATTGATGGATGCGTTGAAATGCGGGTAAGCTTGAGCTTCGGAGACTCCAGGCAGCAATGACATTGGGATCGAGATAACTGATGTCTTCTGCCAATTGCTTCAGGTCCACCTTGGTATCCGAGCTACGAACCCCTAGCCTTGGTCCGAAACAATACTACGAACTTTACATGGCCGTCTTCGATGCCCTGCGACACCTCTCCGTCTACCTGAAAGAGAACCACCCGGTTAACCATCTAGCGGATTTGTACGAACTCGTTCAATATGCCGGAAATATCATCCCGCGACTCTATCTTATGATTACCGTAGGTACGGTATACATGTCTGTGGAGGATGCGCCGGTCAAAGAGATTATGAAGGACATGATGGAGATGAGTCGAGGCGTGCAGCATCCCATCCGCGGGCTGTTCCTGCGGTACTATCTGTCCGGACAGGCTAGAGACCACTTGCCCACAGGCTCTGGAGACGGTCCGGAGGGCAACTTGCAGGACTCGATCAGCTTCGTTTTGACAAACTTCGTCGAGATGAACAAGCTGTGGGTGCGACTCCAGCACCAGGGCCCTTCGCGCGAGCGCGAGAAGCGGATGCAGGAGCGCCGGGAACTGGAGCTGCTTGTTGGTAGCAACGTTGTGCGACTCAGCCAGTTGGTGGATCTGGAAGGATACAAATCCGGTATATTACAGGCACTGCTGGAGCAAGTCGTTCAGTGTCGTGATGTTTTGGCGCAGGAGTATCTCCTCGAAGGTAACATGACGCAATTGTCTGTCGAAGGTCTGGCATGCTAACTGAGGGTGCAGTAATCACCAAGGTGTTCCCTGACGAGTTTCACTTGCACACCCTTGATCTCCTGCTATCCGCAATCAGTCGACTCAACCCCCACGTGGACCTGAAGAAGATTGTCATTGGATTGATGGACCGCTTGTCAGCTTATGCAGCTCGTGAGACCGAGTCGTCCGCCGAGCCCGATGCAAGAATCAAGAAGGAAGAGGAGGCTGTCACCAAGCTCCTTGGGAACCTCAAGGTATCTGAGGAGACCAAGAAGGAGGCGCCGGAAGAAGCAAACCAGGAGAACGGCGTGGAGCAAGCCGCAACGGATAACGCTGAACAGGCTGAAGCTACGACAGAAGGCGAGCCCACGGCCAATGGCGACGACAAGGCTGGAATTCCAGCCGATGTCAAGCTGTATGACATCTTCTATGAACAAGTGGTTAACCTGATCAAGAGCCGCGGTCTCCCTATTCAAGACACAATGGCGCTTCTGGTTTCGCTTGTCAACCTGGCTCTTAACACCTACCCGGATCGCCTAGAATTTGTGGACCAAATGCTCGACTTTGCGACTAAAGAGACTGCGACGTATGCCGACCACGCCGACCTGCACTCTGCCCCGACACAGCAGAATCTTTTGCACCTCCTTACCGCACCTCTCCGTTCCTACGCCTCCATATTCACGGCTCTTGCCTTGCCCCACTACATCCCACTTCTGACTTCGCAATCCTACACGACCCGGCGAGCTGTCGCAGGCGAAATCGCTCGCAGTCTTCTCAAGAACCGAACTTTCATCACGACTACGGAAAACCTCGACCGCGTGCTGCAAGCCCTAAGGGTTTTGATCAAGGAAGGCACTCAGCAGTCTATGGGCTATCCTGGCATTCAGTCTCAGCGGCGAGGTGAGACTGATGAGACCATCGAGGAACAAGGGTGGCTTGCACGTCTGGTTCATCTGATCCAGGCCAAAGACAATGATACCCAGTTGAAGGTAATACCTCTTCTCAACACGATATGACCACCACTAACCCCCTTCTAAGTTACTCCAAGCAACCCGCAAGGCCTACCTCGACGGTAACGAGCGTATCCGATACACAACACCGGCCCTGGTCACGAGTTCGATCCGTCTGGCACGCAAACTCAAGGCCCGCGAGCACTACGACGACAACTGGCAGTCGCAGTCTTCAGCCCTTTATCGGTTCATGCACCAGTGTGTCAACAATCTCTACCAGCGTGTGAACCCTGGTTGTGCTGATCTGTCCCTGCGTCTGTTTGTGATGTGCGGAGAAGTGGCGGACCAGACGGGCTTCGAAGAGTTCAGTTACGAATTCTTTGCACAAGCCTTCACCATCTACGAGGACTCCATCAGTGACTCACGTGCTCAGTTCCAAGCCGTCTGCGTCATTGCGGGAGCTCTCCACGGCACCCGCGGGTTCTCCAAGGAGAACTATGATACCCTCATTACCAAGGCCGCTCTGCATGGAAGCAAGCTGCTGAAGAAGCCCGACCAATGTCGCGCTGTATACCTAGCCAGTCACCTGTGGTGGGTTGTCGAGAACCCCCAACGAGGCGAAGAAGACCCCAAGAACGTAAGTCCACCTTCATCTAGTGACCTCCCAGAGTCAACTTCTAACATCAATTAGCTCTACCGCGACGGCAAGCGCGTCCTCGAGTGCCTCCAACGGGCCCTCCGCGTCGCAGACGCCTGCATGGACACCGCCGTGTCCGTGGAACTCTTCGTCGAGATCCTCAACCGCTACGTCTACTACTTCGACCAACAGAACGAAACCGTCACGATCAAATACCTCAACGGCCTTATCGAACTCATCCACTCCAACCTGCAGACGGACGAAAACGAGCCCAACCCCAGCCTGGAGGGCCCGAAGCGACACTTCCAACGTACACTGGATTACATCCGATCCCGAGATTTCGAAGGCGTAGTCACCGATCCCAGACAGTGAAATTGCATGACCCTCCTCCCGTATGAATGAGCGATGTTACCTACCACTACCACTACAGCCCATGTGTCCCCAGACATCCGTTTGCCCTGTTTTTTTTTTTTTTTTTTCTCTTCCAGCCTCGTGCGTGTAAGATTCCCTTTCCGTTCTCTTTCTACCCACCCACTTCTATTTCCTCTGCTTCATGAACCAATTATCACCCTACCCTACCCTATCTTATGTCCGCCCTCAATTTGAGTCGAATATATCAATCAGTGTATCATCATCTTCACATCATTATCATACCCTTTTTTTTCTTTCACCTTATAGTTACTAGGGAGGAAAATTTGATCTCCGATAGAAAGCTCTTGATTCCATTCTACTTATATCATATTCTGCTTATTTTAATTTACGTCTCCTGTTATCTCAAGTAGTATCCCGCGCGCTTCTATCCTATGATAGATTATACTTAACTCGGGAAGAAATTGAAGAACACCCAGGAGGTGGTGCTTAGTACTAAGAGGACTAGGAGGTACTAGTTGATTGCTTAACCACTAATAGGCCACTCGTATACAAAACAGACATAGTATTCATATTGATTGAAATGTTACTTTCGTCCTAGGCTCCAGATGTACCGTCTGAACTATAATCATCGGTCGATGTAACTAATGTCAACTACACACCCCTGTGCTGTTTCTCGTCCTCCGCCTTATCCGTACATTGGTTCTTAAGAGGGTAGTCACCACCAGTATGACAATTCATCCACATACAATAAATAGTATGTACCGTCTATCTACCTACTAAATACTCACTTGACCTTACTTAGTCTTCTCTATACATATCTACAATGACCTCACCAATATAGCAAATGACAAGAACTAGAAGGAAGAAGAAGAGGTAGAAGAAGTTTAAGTACGGAACGACCAGGATCAGTCAATTAATTGACCACCTGATAAAGATCCGATTCGCATCATGCAATTGTTTTAACACGGAGTTTCAAACGAACATGAGGTATTTGGGAGCCTTTTGGAATAATGCTCCTTGGGAATCGCTACATAAGGAAGAAAAAAGGGAAAAGCAAACAAGAAAATGGTGGGGGTTTCACTTTCAGAACACCCACCTGGATTTCGGTGGGGAAGCGGAGCAAGAAAACAAGCAAGGCAAAAATGAAGAGAACAACGTAACGTACATGACATGATTGATGTCTGTTCAATGTGCGTAGGAAGAGAAGATGGAAAAGGGGAACTTGGAACACCAGGAAGCTCATCAGTGATGTGGTAGGGTGGAGGAAGATAGGAATGAGGTTGGAAGAGGGTTTGATGACATGATGGACGCTTTCATTCGGTAGAGTAGGAGGGATCGATGGAGAAGGAATAGATGACGGAAAAGGGAAGAAAGTGAGGATGTCATCAATGAATCTCGTGCCATTGCAACTGGAAGCCTAGAACCCCGTAGGAGAAGAAAACTGTCGGAGCACGGATGGTGTCGATGAGCCGATCCCGCCGAACGCTGGAAGACTGCTACTGGGAACCGGACTGCCAATTTCCCCGGGGACAATGCTGCCTCTGTGACCTGAGGACGCACTGTTGGTGTCCGGTTCAAACTTGACACATTCGCCCGTTTCGTCGCTCCTGATCGAGAACGATCCGCCTCCGTTCTGCGTGTTGCCTTCTGTGTCGCAGATATCCAGCATTTCCTTCAACGAGATTGGAGGCTCATTGGCCGGCCGTAGCTGATTTACCTGACGAAGGACAACGTTCACATCATGGTACCCACTGGCTCCCTTGGAAGGGCTCATCATGTTGAGTTGCTTGCAGGCTTGGATGACCAGCAGTCGTATCGTCACGGGCCGAGAGGCATGCGCACGGTGGTGACCGCCGGGAGCAAATACGTTGTTGGACCAGCCACTTCCTATAAAGGTCGTCAGTTGATGGCACAGAAAGGACTGACGTCGAGGTGAAACTGACCAGGTCCTGTTCCCCATGTTGGAGCGCTGGGGAAAGGAGACGTGCCGAAGGGAATCTGTGTACTCCACGTGTTTCCTACACTCGGCCCAATCGGGAAACCGCTATGCTTGGCTGCTATGAAGTTGTCAGCTTATGCGACAGCCATGACTACTTGTCAACGGCACTTACCTAGGGGATCTGCGAAGAGGGAGGTTCCTGCAAAACTGGCTCGGGTCGGTCCAGGGAAGGTGCCAGGAGCAGTCGCGCCAGGAAGCGACTGGGAGAGATTCGAAGTAAACGGAACATCACTGTCATCGAGAAGAGCACTGCTGCCCAGATGCGCACTTAAATCATCCACATCGCGCTGCGCTGACCGGTTGTTTTGGTCTTGTTGGGTGCTTGACGGGCGCTTGATAGGGCTAGGCCGGGAGATCGGGAAGGCATGCGCATCTAGAGGCGACCGCTCAAACGAGCTGGACGGCTGTCTGGAATGAGCATGAGACAGCCCGCTCGGCTGCGCAGCGAACGCATTGGTTATGGGCTGCTGATGGAATGCTAGACCATGTCCTGGATCGAGCGGAAAGCCACGTCCCGGAGGCATAGGACGAGTTCCGTTCATGCTTGGAAGCACGGGCAGTCCATTTGGCGCAGGAAACCCTCGCAGTTGGTTCATCAGCGGGCCCGAATGCGGCGGGTATGAAGGCAACTCATGACCAATCGGCGGACGGGAGACCAGGCCCAAGCCAGGCGGGTTCGATGGCGAGAATCCGGGTGGATGAGAGCGGTTCAACGCACCAAGGGGAGACAGGGGAGTCGAGGGCTGGGGGTGGTGAAGCAACGGCGGTTGTCCATGACCCTGCTTGGACGTAACGCTGGACGCTCCTGACGACTGCGACGGCGCCATCGATCGTGGGGAAATGGATACTTGTGATGGCTCGGTGCTTGCAGGCTGGGACCGCGGAGACGATGTATGGGAGCCCTGCTGAGACGGTTGCCGCGGCCTGGCAGGTGTCGGAGCTTTGGGGACAATCGGAGTGGCGATTTGGTAATGCGGCGACTGCAAGTATGCAGGGAGCGCCTGGGCGTGTTGCAAGCTGGCTGGGATCGGAACCGGTCCTGTATGCGACACTCGTTTCGCTTGGGGATCGCGTTTCTCCTGACCTTCGTACTCGGTCTTGGGGGCGGCCTCCCGACGTGTCTGCGCATCCTTGACTTGACGTTCTCGCTCATCCTTCGTCTTCTTCTCCCGCAGGTCGTTTTGCCGTGCTTCTTCTCGTCGCTTCTTCTCCAGCTCCTTTTGCTCTCGTTGCTTTCTCTCAATCTCAGCCTGTCGCTCTCTTTCTTCGCGCAACCGCTTTTGCCTCTCCGCCTCCTTACGGAGACGCTCCGCTTCTTGGGCTTTGCGTTCTGCTTCTCGCTTCTTCTTTTGTTCCTCGCGCTTCCTCCTTTGCTCTTCCAGCTTCTTCTCCTGTTCAGCCTTGGCCGCAGCTTCCTCGGCCGCCTTTTCCGCCTCCCTTCGCGCCTTCTCTTCCTCCTTGGCCTGCTTTTGGAGCTTCTTCTTATCCTTCCTCTTCTGAGCCTCCCGCGCTTTCTTGGCGTTTCGTTGCTCGTTCCGCGTTTGCTCCTCCATCAGTTCCTCGATCAGTTTCTGCTGACGTTGTTCTGCGACCTTTTCTCGATAGGCTGTCAAGACGCGTTGTTCGAACATTCGGGCCGCAAATATTTGAAACATCCGTCGGCCTTCCTCCATGCGTTGCTCTTCCGTCATGGCGTCCTGCAGAAACGAGTCAGCTTGCACTGCATCACCACCCGGCCAGTTCCCGGAGCTGACCATTTCATCCTCCTCATAATCTTCATCTTCCTGACTATCGTAGTCCTCGTCCTCTTCCTCGTCATAATCGTCGTCATCTAGAGGACCGTGGTTGTGGCCGCCATGGAGGGATTGGTGTGCTGCTGCTATGCCGTACTGGGTATCCTCTTCACGTTGCATTCGGCGCTCAGCTAATTGCTCCATCATGTCGATGAAATGTTTCCCGTCGTTCTTTAACAGATCGTCCGCGACTGTAAGGATGCCATCTGCAAGTGATGCAAAGCGATTAGTATCTAGCTTCCGAGAATTGTGAAAAAGCCTCGGTTGTCGCCTACCTTTGACAGTTAGACTATTCCCAAAGGCGAAGAAATCCGCGCGGGCTGCACGGGTCTCTTCGTCTTCGTAATCGTCGTCGCTGTACGGCTCGTCATCCTCATCATCTTCATCGTAGTCCTCCTCCAGATCCTCGTCGTCTTCCGGCAACTCATGAATTCGGCCTCGAGAGGGATGAAATTGGCCTTGCGTCCGTGTATGTTGACCGGGTGATCGTAGAGGCGGGTGGTATAAACGCGGAGGCGGGACCATGGGCGGGCCCTTCTCGAACGAGCCTTGGTTGTTGTTGGCGTACTGTTCCAACTCCTCATAGTAAGCGTCGTATAGTACTTCCAATTCCTCCTCGATGGCTGTCCTTTTCCTCCCACATACAGTACAACTGCACGAGTGTTTCTGCTGCTCCTTCATCTTTTTCAAGACCGCATCCTTTTCAACCTTGACGAGCTGGCGTCGCTCCTCCTCCCCAAGCTCAAGCCAGAACGTCTTGATGTTCTCTCGCTCTTCTTGCGTGGAGGTGTTCCAAATGCTACGGTCCTTACCCGTCTTCAGAAGCGTATGAGGCAGATGCGGCGGTAATGGCGGGGGCAGATGCTGTGACATGGAGACAGAAGGAGTGGACAGTGGTGTTGAACTGTCATCGCCCATGGTCTGCGAGCCGGCCCGATTCTTCTTTCCTTTCTTCTTCTTGGATTTCCGAACCGTGGCATTTTGTTGGCCCGGTTGCCCGTTTGACAGACTCGGCGGGTGGTCGTCCAGATCATGTGTCGCGTCGTGAATTTCCTCATAGTACGTTTCGCCGTTGGCGCGTTCATCGAGGTCGTGCTCGTCGGATACATGAGACGCTGGCGCGGTAGGGCTCAGACCGTTCTGCTCAGACATGTCCGCGGAGATGTGGCCGTTTCCGAACTGACGCTCCGCAGCCAAGCGGGCGGCCTGTTTTTGTCTGCGTTTTTGCTTCTTGCGGTTAACCGACACGGGTTTGGAGTCTGATAAGGGAAGGTGGTCGTGGTGGTGGTCGTTGGGCGCATGGGCCTCGCCGTTCGTGGCGTGTGCAGGGATGGATGTCGACGCAGGATCGGACATTGTGGAACCGGGATTCGGCCGCGGCGTTTGCGGCGGAGCCATGGAGAAGTGAGGACTTAGGAGGCTATGATAGCGATGGGTAGGGAGGACGAAGAGGGCGGGCTTCTCAGTCTCCTAGAATGTTCCGACCTAAGCACCATGCTAGGGAAGCGTTCCGGCGGGAAAAAGTCAGCAGGAGGGTACGGCGGAGATAGCCAGGTAAGAGATAGTAGCGAGGGTGTAGACTCAAAGCTCACCGGACAGCGGTCGGGACGAAGGCTGAGGAGATTATTGGGGATGGAGGAAGGGACAAGGGGAGGCCCAAATCCAGGATGTCTGGTGAATCACGCGAGGCAGGCGAAAATAGAGGCCGCGGGTGGAAAGCAGGCGCCCAGGTGAATTGGGGTGAATCCCAAGGGTCGACAAACGGGGAACGAGGGCGGAGAGGGGTGGAAAGGACCCGGGAACCGCACGACAAGAGGGGAGAGAGAGGGGGGAGGATAGCGTTCAATCCCCCAACAATCGGGGAAGATAGGGAACAAGCGGGGAGGAGAAAGAGGATATGAAATGGCGAGACGGATGACAGCGAGTGAATGCAGTAAACCGGAGATGGGAGGAGGGGATTCGGCGACACAGGCGCAGACACAGCGAAGATGATGGGGTTTGGATGGTGGACCTTGACGCCGGGCGTTGGGCTCTGGATGGTTGCCGTGCCGCTGGCCGCAACTGGATTAGCCGCCGCAACTGGATTAGCCGCCGCAAGCGAGGTTGCTCGCCTCAGTTCTCAGGCTGAATCTATCCTATTCTGCCTACATATAGGGATCAACTGTGTAGTATATTCTACATATATTCTATATATCACATATATCACATCTTTTTGGATAATTACCACCAAGCAAATAATCCGGGCTTTCATCCCCCTCTATAATAAAGTTCACACTTGTCAATCTACCCACCATAGAGATCTATGCAATCAAGCGCCCAACTTCAAGATCACCTGGCCTAGCTTTAAGCGCCCTTTTGCCAGCCACCCAACCAGTCAAACAGCCAAACAGCCAAACAGCCAAAAACGAACATGTATTATATCTAAACTAAGCTTTAAACCCGACAGGTAATTCGTAGCGTTCTCCAACCTCCCACTACGTACTACTAACGATACCTACCTCGGACTACCGTCGGAAACTTAACCTTTAATATGACCGGGGTTTTGGACTATTATAGCGTTCCCTCATCTTCCTTCTTCCTAACTCTCCTGCGGGGTCACCAAAAAGCCAACCCCCCAAAAAGAGGGGGGTTTTTAATCTCATGATCGGCGCGCGCGCGCATTCCATCCTACCTGACATGATCTGATGCTGTCAGCCCATCCCGTCCGGAGTGGATTACACAGATATTTCTGAGTTGGGGTAAAATATGTTGATCGATTGAACAGGCTTGTTTTTCTTGAAAGTGACATGCCCATATGGGCAGGTGACTACGTAGATTGGATAATTAACAGGTGTTCGTTTAGTTTTAGCATAGTTAGCATGGATGTCTCAGTGCGGAGTAATCAATCTCCCCACTGACCGCCGGTGTCTCTAGTACTGTTGGTTAGCTTGGCATAAGATTGGAATCACACAATTGTGGGCATTGTTATTGCTGATTGCAAGGGTCCTCTTATGTGTCATTAAATCCTTATGAAGGGCAGTGTTTATTCATTCTTGAGATAGTAAGGGATGCAGTGTATCGCTAGGGAGTCTGAATGTGAGGGGAACTAACCGTGTGAGATTCAAAAGTGTGATAGGTGCTATAGCCACTCACTGTAGGTTTAGAATGCCGAACCCAAACATTCGTAACTAGTACTATTCATAAATGCTATGAGACATACGAATCACTTTACGTGAAACACTCAATAGGCAGAACTATCTGGGTCTATTGCAAAAGTCTGTTCGAATTGGTCGTTCGGCTACAGAGTAGCGATCAGAATATAACCTAAAGTAAAAAAGATGATGTGTCTATAAAAGTTGAAGATGGTGAGTCCTGCGATCCTCCTGGCTGACCTATCTCGTAATCCAATGCTGATCCGCACTGTTCCTCCGCAATGCCTGCTGGCTACTCCCGCAAAATACCCGCAATAGCACTCGTAAAGAGCACAAGTTTGCATACGGTTGGAGGTCAAATGGAAGATCGAGAGGCTCCAGAGCATGTCATATACACCACATCAACATGATCAGGGCAATCGACTAACCCAAAATAGATCTCCGACCATATGAGGGCGCTCACGACTGTCACCGAACCGAGACACGGCACGGCATTTGACGGCCTACGGGGTCATAGCCAGCATCTTTCCTGTCCCCTGATACTGGTAGTGGTGCCCCTGTCTCGGTCCAGAAGCTGTTGGTGGACCTTTCGCCTCAAAGTATTCCGGAGACTGGCAGGCCAGATGTCATCCATGTTAATCATCTGTGCGTTGTATGGCCCAAGAATCGATGCGAAACGTCTGGAAACCGTGGAAATATCATAGCGCCATTTCTGCCCGCAAACGTTGAATAGAAATTGGTGTGTCAGGTCGCAGTCAGGAGCTCTGCCTCGCGCATGCCGAGTTCTGTTCGGTCGCCGGAAAAGTCATACTCATCACCGCTGCTACTGTCATCCTCTTCCGTGAATGTCGCAGAGATCAGTTCGGCATACAGGGACTCGGTTGGCTTCCTCATGACCGTCCCTTTAGGTGTCCGGAAAAACCCGAGCTGCGGTGGACACAAAACAATCCGGGATCGCTGGATTTTTGCGTGCTCGGAGGCAACGGAATTGGCTTCGACGACAGATGGCCAAATGGCGTCCAGTAGCTCGTCTCTACTCATTTCTTGATAGGAGCTTTGCCTGGCTTCAATGAGAAGCACTGGTTCGGGACGACCATTCCCCACAATCAAAGCCCCTGTAACATGAGGATCTCCTCTCAGGATAGTCTCCATGGGAATAGGCCACACTTTGAGCTCATTTTCCAGCACGATTATATCTTCGGTGCGCGAATGAAAATGCCACAAACCAGCTTTGGTGGGATGAGGCTTAAATAGATCTTTAGTGCGCCACGTGTGTACCTTGGGATAATTATGAGCAAGGGATAGATATGGCCGTGAGCTCTCGGCTGGGTGCAGAACCAGCTCATAGACGTCATCACCCACAGCCTCCATCTCAATTTCCGGCAGATTGTTGAACTCGATATATTGCCACTCTCCTGGCTGGGGATTGAGCGCCTGGATGTGACATGTCTCAATAGAGCCATACATCTGGCGTATATTTGTTACCTCACTGAGCTTATTCCCAACACTAGGTGCCAACGCCGCTCCACCACAAAGGATGAAATCAAGCTGTCGTGCCTGGTCATAAGCATCTGGCTCAAGCATCCACTGCTCTACCAGAAATGGGGGAACATAGATGGCTCGTATCTGCGGCTGTTGTTTCATGATGGAGCTCAGCAGGGCCCCGCTTGGTGGGACAGTAAGAGGACCCATGACGAAAGCAGCCGTACGTGAGATGAGAGGCAAAAGGGTGAATGCATGGAGGCCAGCGAGCTGTTTATCCATGAGCTCAAGAATACGAAGGCCGCGTAGAGTTACTTACGTGGTGAGGCGGAAAAGGGGAGTAATAGCGTCCTGGTGGAGAGAAATTGAATTGATCTGCATTCTGCGCACGACGTCCCTCTGGGACAGACATGAATGTATCATTATCAGCGCAGGCGAGAGTGCCGTGGGTGTATTGGACCAGTTTTGGCTGGCCTGTTGTGCCGGAAGTGTGCAGAATCAGACAGCGCTTGTTCTGGAATTCTTCAAAAGAAGCATTCCAGTGGAATGGAGGGGACTTGGACTTGAAAAGCTCGGCCAGTGTTGGCACCGGCAAAGATTGCATGAAGGGGTCGAATTGCTGAAGACTTTCTGCTGCCGAGCACATGACGTCCGCATAGAGAAGGCCATAGACGTTTGCTTCCTGCAAAAGGCCCAAATTCTGGATGGGGGTGTTTTGAGGAGAGACGAACATTGCCTGTCTCATGAGTCAGTATCGGATACTATTTCCAGAGAGAATAGACACATACATTCCACCCGCACTTCATGAGCGCCAGCAGCAAAATGGGGTAGCGGAGGTCAGGAGGGCCAATGTAGGCCAGTGTTGTCTTTTTGGGCACTCCCTCAAAAGCGCGTTCAAGCCACCAAGCCATATGGTCTACTGCCGTCGCCATCTTTTTCACGCTTATGTCTTTGTAACCATCCATGACGCTCTTCGTCTTGGGGATAGCAGCGAATACGCGATCGGGCTCGTCATGGGCGTAGTAATCGAGAATGTCAGGAAGCAGTCGATGTCCTCTAAACTTTTCCCCGCCCCGAACCCACGACTCCGTGCCGTTACAAGCAGCCATCTTAAAATATGGTAAAGACCGCCTAGTTCTCTAGTAGATGGGATCTGAGAAGACCTGCCGATCCCCAAGGCCGTGTCTGAAAATGAGGTTGTTGTCGCTTGTGATATGACTGCCCGGGGGAAATTGGCCGTGGCGGGCTAATTCAAACTCTTGTGGTGGGTAGGCAGTCAGTCAGTAAACCAAGTGCAAAGGACCTTAGCCCAAGCAAATGCCACAGACTGGATGCGACTAAGCACGTTTTCACCCCTCGTGGGAATCCATCGACCTGCGTGTCTAGGTCTGCGCTAAATTGGTCTTTCGATCAATGATAGTTGGGCGACCCGTGCCTGCAACATGCATAATTGAGCCCGTGGGCCGCACCAGGAACCTCCGTGAAGAAGGAGGAAACTAAGAGGAAGACTGCCGTACTGTAAGTGTAATCGGCTGAACGGACCGGAGGAAAGTTCAGTCAATTGTAACTACTAACTGACTAGCAAGCACACTGAGAGTGGGCTCTTTGCTCGGAAATGGCCGCTGTCCCGCGCCACGACGACTGGCGGGCCGCTGGCACTTGTACCAACGAGTCTAGTAGTTCATACGCTCTTTTCGTTTGGCACCCCCCAATTGTGCGCTCTTTGATGGTGGCCAGGTTTAACCTAGGACCAGCTTATCGTATGACACGGACGTACAAAGGCGCAAACACCCCTTTCATCTTCTGCACTGCACCATGTGGCGCCTGGATGGCCATGAGGTGCTCCGCAGTTGTCTCGACTATTTGGTTAGCGGAATGATAGAAGCACTAGGGAATGCCGATCAGCCTGGCCCAAGTGTGCGCGCCCGTGGAATTGAAGGCTGCTCCACAATTGCATCTGCGATTGTCGTTTCCAGATCAATTCCGCTCCGGTGGCAGTTGGCATGTTCCGGCGGCCGGCCAAGATGGAATTTGCGATTGACGTCTTGACGGGCCGGCTCACCATGGTTGAAGGGTGGAGGTTAGAATTTGCGGGAACATCATTGATCGAACCCCAATTGCAGGATTCTTCCAAGAGCCGATAGAGGAAATCCTGGGAGACTAATGACTTCATTGACCGGCCACTCCCTTCCTGAAGCGTCAGGCGAAGTCTCAATTTTGATGTTTTGTGTCCGTCGGTTTTATGAACCGCGCTTGGAAATAAGCGGTGACGGTTACAGTAGATGCCGAAGGAAGCGAGGCCAGAGATAAATGGCCCCCATAGATCCGTAGAGGCCATCCGGTGAGACCATCATTGGGTACGGATGATAAATGCGCAGTCCGGGCCCGTTTCGCTCGATGCTTTGATTCGCAGAACGGTTAATGGCGCATCCTCGCGCGCCCCGAATTAATCGACGGCGTCCGGAGAAAACGCCCGACCCAAAAGGTCATGGCTAAAGGATGGTCCTAGTATTAAGCATTTCACTGCTAACGGCTGCCAAAAGCCATCTTTGCTCTTGATATGGGTGGCAGCCAGAGCTTATTGCTGAGCTTTTTGAGCAGATGTAGACCAACACTATATGAAGGGTCCAGCCACAATGAGCAGGTGCCAACGAAGCATCTGCAATCGCGGGCGTATCTCCTCCAATTCTATATGTTATGCATCGCAGACTCGTCGTCAATAAGTGGACTCACAGCCGATGTCTGAGAGGTAGAGACACTGTTGAGAAGAAAAGCATTAGACCTGCTATACCAAACCGAGGAGCACCATCAAACCTCTGGTAAACTATTCTATCGAGTAAGCAATAGTCGAGAGAATCGTCAGAAGGCGGTTGATTTGAATGATAGCCCATAGGCACATCTTGAGTGTCTAGAGCATGCGTCGGGTTGTTGAGAATCGGACTCCGTCCATTCAGTCAGTGGTCGCATATTGCGAGTCAGGCAGATAAAAATTGAGAGAGACAATAAGAGACGAGACGCTTCTAAGACGATCAGAAACCCACGGCGATCTTGTTAGTCTGATTAGCAGGCACTGAGATGAAGCACGCATATCACTATTAGAGGCGCTCGGTGTTCAACGTCGGGAGCATGAATCGAATGGTTCAGCTTTCAGTTCGGAGAGGATTCACCAACTGGCTGTTAGGTGATATAGCTGAGAGTAGGATCCCGATTTTGGAGAGGGGAATGCAGATAATTTTCATTTGTATGAGCCGGTCGCGCTCATCTTCGGCTCTTGACACTAGAATTGCCTAGTTTATGCAAGAGAGCTGCGCCGCAAGCTGAACTGCAACCAGATGCGACTATCGTACGCTAGTGAGAGGGCCAGACCACGACATGGGTTTCTAGTAGGGTCGTTAAAGTGTGATCGCAGAAGATAGTAATACAGTCAGTGAGGAGATGAAAGCGGTTAAGTAAAAGTTGATCTTCACGATGTGTTTACTACTCATGATGGGTGATTTCAGGGTTTTCTTTGTCCTAATACGCCTCAGTCCCCCCGCCGCCCCATTGAATATAAATAGCATCAGGCCCACTGGGATAGATCATGTTGTTGGTAATCCTATATTTACTACCGAGTTATGAGTGTGCATAATCAGTAAATATGTCCAGTACAATAAAGTTGATGTGTACTGTCCAGAGTTTGCTTGGGCCATTGACCAGGTTTTCAAGCCTCAACGCAAAATCCTACCGGAGCTTGCTGATATTGCAATTCGTGCCTAGCCAAAAATAAGATTCTTAATGTACTGCCCAATCTTGCTCATTGTTCCGGTATCCGCCTCATAACCAACAGCCGCCCTTGCCCGATCTTCTTCATCAAAAGCAGCTGCCGCCGAGAAGTCCATATCTGACGGCCGTACCAGCTTGGAGCGATAGTAGATCTAAAGGAATGGTCAACGTAATTCAGTGAGACTTTCCGATGATCATCACTCACCTTGTAGCCGAAGTAATCTAGGAAGAATAGAGGCGCCGCGATGTAGGATGAAAACCAACTCTTTGCAGACCCTTTCTCGCCGAAGGGGAAGCACGCTAAGTAAAATTCGCATCCTGCGATGAAGAGGACCACAACGAGACCAAGATACTGGGCGTAAGGAGCCATTCGGTCTCGGAAAGGCAGTGTCTTTTTATCAATACCCTGTGCAGCAAGACCTTGTCGGAATCGGATGTGGGAGATGAAGATTCCGGACCATTGGAATAAGGCGGATACAGATACCTGTGGGATGTCAGTATAAGATATCAACGATCACAAATAAGTGAGATACTAACCAGAGATGAGAACCAGCCATAGACGGTAGCTCCGGTGTCGTTACAATTGAGGTAGCATAAAGCTCCTCCTACAGTGAGGCTGAGGGCTAGAGAGACGTAGGGCCTTCCGACAGTGTCTTTGCGGCCGAAGAAAGGATGCAAAATGGCCATGTCAGACAAGGCTGCAAGACTGCGACTAGCGATATAGGCACTGGTGATGCCACAGCTAATCACTGTCAAGAATATGAAGCCGTTTATGATGTGCGCTAGCCACATCACGCCTGCACGCTCAATGGCAATGACGAACGGGCTTCCTAATGTGCCACTTCCATTGATGAGGTTTTCATCATCGTAAGGAACACACATTCCCACGAGCCAAATATTGACCACGAAGAACGAGAACATGCGCCAAAACACGGGGTATACAGTTCTCTTGATGGTCCGGCGGGGGTCCTTGGCTTCTCCAGCAATGACTGCGATATGCTCTCCGCCACCGAAGCTGAACAGCGCTTGGACAAACGCCTTAGAGATACCTTTGATGCCGTTGTTGAATGCGCCGGGATTGCGCCAGTAGCGAAACTCGATCGGGCCATGTGTGGCCGAGATACCGCCCGAAGTCATGATGAACATGAAGAAAATCATGACAAATATTGCCAGAACCTTGACGAAAGACATGATATACTCAACATGACCGTAGATCCGGACACCGAAACAATTGGCTGCGGCAATGACTACCAGGAAGATAGTGATATACGCTGCAAGTGGGACAACCTCTGTTGCTGGCCAGAATTCAAGCACAGAAACGGCTGCAGTTATTTCGGCAGGAATGCAAATCACCCACTGCCAGGAACGATCAGTCGCCAATGCATCGTCTTAAATAGGCAGAGCTACCTACCGAGAACCAGAAATTGATACCGACCGCGAATCCGAATGCGGGCTCCACGTATTCAATGCATTGTCTGATAAAGCCTCCATGGACCGGCTTAAAGGTCGTCATTTCACCGATCGAGGTATACTGTAAGTACACTATGAATCTAAAAATGATAGGTTGGCATGTCAGCAAACCCGCAGTTGAGCGCAGCTTGATAGACTTACGCAGTGATGGTGTATGCAACGGCGATGCCACCAGGGCCAGCTACATGCTGCAATTAGTCGCAAGAGACTTTGCCGCTTCGCTCAGGGGAGCCTCACCGTACTTCAGTGCAGTACCTGTACCGACCCATCTAGATGTTAATGTCAATTAAAGTGAGCCAGCAGCATATAGGGTTCGTCCTACAAGCCAGTTCCCACACCAGCGCCGAAGGTCATCATCATAATCTGACGACTACCGAGCGACCGGTGGTAACCAACATCCTCGTTCGCTCCTAAGAGCTCACTGTCTCCCTTGGCAACATCTGTCTTTTCAAGGTCGGTGTCGACAACGGTGTCTTTGACGTCCACTATCTTCGGCATTGTAACGATAGCTTACTCCACTGACTACATGACCATCGGAGAGAGGGCCTATAGCGGCATTTTATATGTTAGTTCTGGTGAATGTCACAAAAGGTATGATAAGTGTCATTGGCCATTATAGCCGTCGTATCTGGAAAGCGGCAGCGAAATGGAGACATTGTGTCCGAGATAAGCTAGGTTGGAGCTTTGATAGCGACTCGCGGCGTTAACAGCCAGTTGTAGATAATAGTACGGAGTAGTCCGAGTCTTTCCCCATTTCTGTATGAGGAAAAGCTGGAGTTTACTAGAAGCAAAAGTGGGGTTGCTGATCATCTGTTCTGTATGAACCCTGTATCCTAGTTTGGAGTCAGGTGTATAAGAAGGTAGACCAATGGCTTAGGCAAGTTGAACGAGAGCTAAACTCTCAGTCACTCTCAACTCTTCTCATTTGATCCCTACGATAGATCAGCACCAGCACCAGCACCAGCACCATGACCGGCAGTAAGAATGTGGTGTTCGACATTGTCGGCACGCTGGTCTCCTACGATGTCCTCTTCGAAGCGATCGACACGCAACTGGGCGACCGTCTCCGTGCGGAGGGGATCAAGCCTTCCTTGTTAGGGTACACATGGATCGAGGTCGCAGAGCGCGAGTACACATATCTGAGCTTGTCAGGCCAGTATAAGACATTCGCTACTTGTCTGGAATTGCTCTTCTGGCGAATGCTCAAGATGGCAGGCATCCAAGACCCGCGAAGCTTTGCCACAAAGAGCGATCTCGAGTTTATCATGAGTAGGTATGCCAAACTTGGACTCCGCCCAGGAGCGGCCGAGTGCGTCACTAAGTTGCGTGACGCTGGGTTCACTGTCTGGGCACTCACAGCGGGGGACGCCGCGAGAGTGGGGGGATATTTCGCCAACGCTGGACTTGAATGGCCCGCAGAGAATCTGAAATCCTGTGACTCGCAGGGAATAGGCAAGCCAGACTTGCGGGTGTACCAACCGCTCCTCGAGCAGCTCTCCCAGCACAAACAACCCTGGTTTGCTGCTGGACATATGTGGGACGTTTCGGCGGCTCGCCGTGCGGGGTGAGTACAGATGCACTAAAGATGCGTTATCGCGGTGGATACAGGACTAAGCTCACACATGGCATATAGGTATAAAGGAGCGTACTGCACCATCTGGGAAAAGGAGCCGATTGTGGAATTATTTGGAGAGATGGAAGTCATGGCAGACACTCTGCCAGCGATGGCTGACAAGATAATTGCTGCGGAAAATAAATGAGAAGGGAGAAGTTGACGGCCGAGAGGCAGGCATATCGGCACTAGCTTGGTCACTAGATACTACTAGTCTGGGGAGCGTGCCAGCTACTGATAGATATGATACGTAGCCAGTGCAGTACTTCCTTTAAGATAATAGCACATGGAGCCTATCTTGCAGATCCATTTTGTTTCTGATAATACCCCAAAGAATGTTTATCTTCCACACAGACTTACTTACTATTGGAAACAGACTTCTCGCTGGATCTACTGCTATCTGCCTTTCTGATGCATTTCCTCCTACTCCTGTTTGGAATACCATCCTACCGTCCTCTCCGACTTTTCGGTAAACCATTCATCCTGCAAAAGATCTTTCGCGGTAGGCCGATCCCTCGGGTCAAGCTTCATAATCCTAAGAACAAATGCCTTGTCTGCATCACAGATCTCCCTTTCACGCAGGAACCGAAACGGTTTCAGTTTTTCAGGAGGAATTACAGACATAATGCGCACAATACTTTCTTGTGTCTGCTGATCACAAATCTCTTTGTAAGAGATAGGGAACGGTCCAAACCACTGGTGATGCAGCACCAGGATCTTAACATCGTACAACTCGTGGCCTTCTGGTACATCCGGCTCAAATATGTGGAAATTGAAACCCCAAATTTGATTGATTAGCTACTGATGCATTAATTTTGCCATCACATATCGAGGGGTTTGAAGTGAACTAACCGTCACCCCAAAACTCCATATATCTGCAGCAGTGCCCCATGGAATCTCAAGATGAACCTCAGGGGCCCGAAAGAGGCTTGTTCCGGTATGCACACCATCTTTGGCGTACTCCGAATCAGTAGGGACAACACCCCCACAGTCGGCCAGTTGAACGTCTGAAAATCGACTCTTTCCGTTACCGTAGTTAACGAGGATATTGCTCGGTTTTATATCTGGAAGCAATGTCAGGACAAACACCATGTGTGGCGACATAGGCTATTGTCGAACCTGTGTGAACATAGCCATCATCATGCAACACTTGCAAGGCTTCCAGTACATTCTTCGCCACATACTTGAGTTCTGGCCTGGTAAGTCTTTGCTTCCTAGATGCCCGTGCCACGTCGTCATCAAGATATTTCAGAATGATAGCCGGGGGCTCCACTGGATCTTGGATCTCATCCAGGAGGGGGCGCAGGTTCGGGCAGCGACCTTAAAAACGATTGAGAACGTCACGCTCATTGTGGAGGCGCCAATGGCCTTCAACACTCTTCACGACAACGGGTTTCTTGTGTTGATTCCTATCGGTCACGGCTAAGTGTTCTAGACGGCTTATACCGTGCATGGCCAGCACTTACACTGCAGAATAAACGAATTCCGAAACCTGCTGGGTTACTTTGTAGATACCAACTCTACCTTTTAAGACGTTGACCCACAGAAAATAGAGACATGGCTGGCATTGTACATTTTCTTGAGCCGTACCAAGGGAGTAGGAATTAACATGGGAACCCGTGGCATTCAGAACTGCGCCAAGATTCCAAGCAGGTTATGTAATAGGCTGGTACTGTTTAACTATCACAAGTAATCCATAATTCAACAGAAAGAGGTTGCCAGAATTAAATTATGCAGAAAAAGAAGAAGTATGGCTGGAAGCCGCATTAGCTAGATCACTGGGAGAGACCACAGATCTGATAAGCGTTAATACGGAGGACTCATGTGCTGATAAGCCTATCCTGGGATGTTCAAGTCATGTCTCCACCCGACAGAATATACCTACAAACGTCTGTGTATTCTTACTTCATCATTTGCCCACCTAAAATGTTTCTAGCCGTCCTGTATGAGACATAAAATAAACACCAGTAAACGAATACCGTTCCCATGAATAACTTCGCATAATATCGCAGGGAAGGTGGCCTAATGGGATAGGTCCAGCAAGAACGCCATCACATGTCAGTTGCTGCTCTTCGCCGATCACTTCCAAGTTATATTCTCAGATAAGCTGATAGACTCAGTAGGCCGCGCATTCACAATAACAACTCATTTGTCACCCACGAATCATGCCCACTTATTCTATCTCGATCATGTCGATGATTAAAACAAGAAAGACGTCGCCACTGCTTTGGGTCAGGTACATATGATGGATATGGGTGAGCCACAGGAACGATCATCACATCTTGGTATCAGGTACCAGTCTAAACCTATTTGGGTAACTCCCTCCACGGCCTCATCCGGTCTCCGCGGGGACTAAACCCGATACTATCAGGTACTGATTTTGAGATTGAAGTATAAGACGAGTGATGGCTGACCGGCCTCATCAGCAATCCACATTCCATCCAAGCGCTTTTCCAAGCAAATTACCAATATGCCTGCTGTACAGAAGGTGAGTCTACTCTCTTTAGCTATATGATCTAGCTAACATGCCTAATCAGGCCATCATCATCGGTGCAGGCCCCGCCGGCCTCGCTGCCGCCCTTCAACTGCACCGTAACAACAATATCGCCATTACCGTATACGAGTTACGCCCGGAGCCAACCACCCTGGGTGGTGCTATAGGTCTATTTCCAAATGGAATGCGCCTGGTTCATCGACTAGGGCTGCATGATGAAGTTGTCGCCCGCGGATTCTCCGTCGCCGACATGGAGATGCACTCTCTGCCAAACGGTGACATTGCCAAAGTCGACATCTCTCGCTGGGCAAGCCAGAAAACTGGCTTCGGATACTTGCGTATTCGTCGCAAAGACCTTCAGAGTGTTTTCCTTGACGCCGTTGCAAAAGACCAAATACCTGTCCACTACAACAAGCGCATTGTCTCCGTCACCGAGTCGCCAACAGATGTCACCGTGACCTTTTCCGACGGCTCAACTGATACAGCCGATATCCTGCTCGGATGCGATGGTCTTCACTCTAGTGTCCGTCGACTGCATGTCGATCCGTCCATTGTGCCCGAATACTCCGGTATCGCGGGAACGCAGTCCGTCATTGACTGCACAGGCCTTCCGGAGGAGCTGAGTACGCATGCCAACGCTTTTCTCTCCCGCACGGGTATTCTGGCGATGATGCCGTGCTCTCCGTCCGGCGATAAGCTCTTCTGGTTCTTCTCGCGGGAAACTCCTATCCCTCACTCGGAATCTGGCAATGCGCGAGACGGGTGGGAGGAGCGACGTCAAAAGGAGGTTGCGGAGTACAAGGACACCATTCTGAAGATCGTCGGCGAAGGCAAGGGTAAATGGCCGGAAGCATTGACGGAGATGGTGAATCGAACGGACGTCGTTGGGTTTTATCCCATCTTCCGGCTCCCGCTGGGCGGGAAGTACCATACATCTCGAACGGTGCTGCTCGGGGATGCAGCGCATGCGATGCAGCCTCATGCGGGTCAAGGAGTGTCCATGGCATTGGAGGATGTGTTTCTGCTATCGCGGTTACTGAAAGACGATCAGCGGGACTTGGAAGATGCATTTGCCAAATACGAGGCGATCCGCAGACCGCGCATCACGGAGATATACAATCTGGCTGCCAAGAACGGAAAGAAGCGAAAAGATGTCAGTCCGTGGGGGTTGTGGGTGAAGGAGAATATGGCGTGGGCTGCTTATGGACTATATAACCGATTAGGGTTGGAAGCTTGGGGAATTGGTCAGAAGCATTTGGTTTATGATATTGATGAGGTGAAGATCTGATTGATTCGGACTGGCATCTCTTTTTTTTTTTTCTTCTTCTTTTTTACCTTTCTTATTGTGAATATTTTCGGAGGGGTTCGGACTCTCTACTCAATTTTGTACCTTAATGCGGCGCTAATAGCGATGTCTCGGAAGCATTTATCGTGTTGGGAACTTCATTCACCGGGAAGCTCTATGAGTGGTCTATTTCAAGCCTAGAATATACGCACGGTGTCGGGGTATAGTGTGTCGTATTATCCATGTCCTAGGGGGTGTAGACAAACAGCGTAAACACAAGCTGGCCAGGGATGAATGTAGTGAGATGTTATGTCATGCATTGACTGGAGACGAGGATAGCCCTGTTCAGTGCTCAGCCATAGTATGATGGAGCTCAACCCCCTGAAGTGGCTGTACTGTGTGTAAAGGGGATCGGGGTGATTACTGGTGCCAGGATTTAGGGCGCCGTAACTAGTTCCGAATCTACTACTCATGCATTCCCAGCTCTAAAGGTAGACGGAATACGAGGAACTGATTCAAGAAGGAAGGTGAGTGAGAAACTGTCAAAAACTGTTGAGAGTTTAGCAGTAGTATCTAGTCAGTAGTTAGCGATTATCCAGTGGATCCTAAATGGAGTGCATTTTTGTGTGTGTAAGTTTGATCAACAACGGGTTTGACTGGGTCAGGGCAAGAGAGGGAGAAAAAAAAAATAAACAAAAAAAGAAACATCCCACCATCTCCTCCACCACGAGGATGACTGGGGAAAATAGAAACAGAAAAAGGAAAAGAAAAATTGAAAACGGGAAACCGGACTTGCCCATTCATCGGCATCCCCTCCCTGCCAGAGCATCCGGGGGGCTATAAATATACTAACTGCCATGAAATGGATCAATGGTCCAATGGTAAAGCAGCAGTGCCAGGCCCCTTGGTCCCGGCGTGATCCCCCTCTCTTTTCTGGACCAACGCGCTCTTTCTCTCTCTCTCCACCCTCATAATAGTAACAGCGACTATCGCGAAATAACCACCGTCTAGCCTGCAACGTCTGAGACAAATCTCTAACCTTAGTAACAAGCGGCCGTGCGGTGACGATTCTTCAGCTGGGCCATCACTGGGTCGATCCCTCCTTCTCTTTGATTACTATGGGGGAAGTCGTTTAGCTGCCAGTGGGATTGGTTGGTTTAGCTGTGATGCTGGGCGTCCATTTTGATGCTATTTGTGCCCATTCGGTCAGCATGGTGGGAGGCCGTACTGATTCATGTATATATATGGAGTGAGATGCCTGGATTGTGAGGGTACAAGGATGCATCTATTCTAATTTCTAATACTCCTTCATATTATCATCATTATCATAATCATCATCATAATCATCATCATAATCATTACCAGCTTCCTTCCTCCCTGCCTCGTCATCTCCTCTATATCAAGTGCTGTTATAGTGAAGCTAAGTTACTACTCAAGTTACTTCCTTCCCGTCGACTTAACCACGGTTGAGTATTTATTCGTATTTGAAGGTGCGTATTTTATCCGTTTATTTTTTTCCCCCCCCCAAATCTTTCTTTCTTCGTTTCTTTCCCTTCCGGATCAGCGTCAGCCTCAACGCTCGACCGCCTTCCCGAAGGAACGAGACAAGTCTTTTGCTGGGCCCCCCCAAATCCACTTCTCCCAGATTATCATCCATCCATTCATTCCCCCGGCAAAAGCTATCCACCCCCTCCCCATTTTCCCTGGCTTCCTCCTCATTCTTGTATTCTTTAATTTTTAGGGGGAGGGGCTTCATCAACTATTTTCCAATTTTCTCCCCTCCTTCCCACAAATCGCATTTCCACAAAAAAACTTCCCACCGAATTCCTCTTACCTTATCCTTGACCATTGTCCCGACCGCAGTTCTGGCCAGCCTTGCCTGCTGCTGCCTGATTCTTATTCCGTTCCGGGTTCCGCCAGGGCTCGTCAGCGCCCTCGCATTGCCTCGACCCATTCGTGCATTCTCGCTTCATCAATTCAGGGATCCGTGATCCCCAGCCGGTTCGTGAAAAAATGGCTCAACAACAGACTGATAATGTGATGCGAAGGTATGTTCCCGCCCTGTTGTCGTTCCTGGGTTCCGGTGTGCACCTGAGGCCATCATGTTATCTACTGCCGATTTCTGGTTCCCGTTATCAGCCCACCCGCTGTCACTCGACCGGATTGCTCGTATAGAGGGGGTGCGGGGGTGCAGCCAGCCCCAATGCATCATCCATGCCATGAACGAATGGGGCATTGAGCTGACCTGCATGTAGGAAGTTGGTGATCATCGGGGATGGTGCCTGCGGAAAGACCAGTCTGCTCAGCGTCTTCACCCTGGGCTATTTTCCAACCGTAAGTCAACCCTCTTCTCCAATGCGCTGATCGATGGAGTTTCATTGGCTAACCGGTTTCTGATCTGTAGCACTATGTTCGTACCTATCACCTCCTTCGCTGACTACTTAGCATGCCTCTGACTGTCGCGTGTCAACCAGGTTCCGACGGTGTTTGAGAATTACGTGACGGATTGCAGAGTGGATGGCCGTTCGGTTCAATTGGCACTATGGGATACTGCTGGTCAGGAAGATTACGAACGATTGCGTCCGCTCGCTTATTCCAAGGCGCATGTGATCCTTATTGGGTTCTCCGTGGACACGCCCGATTCGCTGGAGAACGTCAAACATAAGGTTGTCTGACCATTCTGTTACTGTTGGACTGCGCTGACTGGTTCTTGTAGTGGATTGAAGAAGCGAACGAACGATGTCCGGGTGTCCCTATCATCCTTGTCGGGTTGAAGAAAGATCTGCGGGAAGATCCACTGGCCGTCGAGGAGATGAGAAAGAAGTCGCTAAAGTTCGTGACGTCGAAAGAAGGAAGCGACATCTCAACGCAGATCGGAGCACGCAAGTATCTCGAGTGTTCCTCATTAACCGGCGAGGGCGTCGACGATGTATTCGAGGCGGCCACGCGTGCCGCGCTCCTGACGTTCGACAAGCGAAAAAGCTCATGCTGCATTGTGCTATAATGGGGAAATGACGACTTTGCGATAGATACGTCGCCGACTCTGATGGTATTTCAGCGATTTGCATGCCAGCCATGATGGGTTCATTTGCTATGCGCTTCGAGCATGTTGCACTTGCAGTTGCCGCGCGACACGCGTGTGCCAGTTTGAATTGGATTTCGAAGAAAAGGGAGAGTGAAGGTGACGGATGTTGATCGATATATCTTGCATTTGCGGCGTTTGGGAGGGCCTCTTCTTTTGTGTTCGAATATCAAGTTTCGCATGTTGACATACCCTTGGTCTCCGGGGGGACACGCTTGGTGACATTCGTTCATTTGGTGTTTGCCTTCTTCAGTGTCTTCTTTGCCTGTTGTCAGTGTTGTTTGCCTTCTTCTGTGTCTTACTGTCACTAGCGGTTATACCTGTATTGAAATTGTATCCACCAGTCTATACTACACTTTACACAGTAGACACAGTAGACTGACCGAGAAACAACCCATAATATAGTAACATATTATACAAACAGACAGACAGAAAAATACATAAACTAATATAACAAACCCATCCATTCATATCCACCTCATCGAACCCACACCTCTATTTTCTACCCCACTCCCATTCCCCCTTCTTCCCCAAAGAACCTCCCCTCCCCTTATCTCCTCCTCTCCTCCTTCGTGAAGAACCTCCTCCTCCGGAGAGGCGGAGGAGGAGGTTCTTCACGAAGGAGATATTTAATCCCTCTTCCACTCATGATTCCACCCCTCCCTCGCAGGCCCATCCGTCTGCAACCGGGCATACTCAATGGGGACCAAATCCCGAAAGACACCCGTCTTAATCATACTCTTACGGAACAATTTCCCGCCATCGCCCGCACCAGTACGCAGTTCCTCACAGGCGGCCTGCATCGCCTGCCACTGTCTCTGCAGCTCCAGCTCGTGCTTCCGTCGCTGCTGGCCCTGGTAGAGGTTCCATGCCCGGTGGATCGTCCAGTGTCGGAGGAAGCGGGTGCGTGAGAAGCGCAATGGGCGGGGAGTGAGCGGGTGGTGGAGGAAGTAGCGGATCAATGCTATTATTTTGGGGTAGTGGTTAGTAGGTGCGGTTGGAATTGGGGGGAGGGATTGGGGTTGGAAGGGGGGTACGGACTGATTCTGCGGTCGCCGCGGAAACCGGACTCCTTTCGCTTTTGGAGCGTGGTGGTTGTGCTGAATTGGTTGGTTTGGGATTGCAATTGGGATTGGCGGAGGGTGTTGGTGATGGTGTTGCTGGTGCTGGTGAGGGTTGGGCGGGTCATGGGGATGCGGAAGACGGATGCCAGGGAGGCGAGGACGGGGGAAAGGGTGCGCATTTTGATTTTTCTTCCTTTCTTTTTCTTAGTTCTTCTCTCCGGTGATTTCTGGGTTGGGTGTTGGGTCGGGGGTGGTGGTGGTGGTTTCTGAGAATGTTCGGAAGACAGACACTGCGCGCCGGAGCGGAAGTTTAGGTGGATTTAGTTGGGTTTGACTTACTGGGTTAGCCTGGTTGGCTTGCCTGGTCGGTTGGTTATCTGCCGCGCGCTAAGTAAGCGCCGTTTCTGCCTTATTTTGTATTCTGTGTATACTCCATACTACTATCGATTCGCTGGATTACTTTGTATAAATGCTTAAATTACTATTATTCATACGATTCATTCGAAGGAAAAAGGTATATATTCACACTTTTACCAAGGCATCTGCATCGCTCGTCATCAATTGCAAAGAGCTCAAAACCAGCAAAGAGTGTATCTCAATCCATCAGCCTAAACGCCAGAAATGCTTCCATCATTCCTCTCACTATCGATCAGTCTTCCCAACCCGCTTCTTCGATCGATCGTAGTTCAACACCTTGCGGCGTCGGTGTGTCTGCGCCAATTTCCACCGACAATATAACACCAGCGCATCCTTCAACAGCACGAATGCACATCCTCCGACGACACTCCGGCCCCAGCGGGTCTGCAACAGTCCCGGTCGGGCTTTGCCCAACGTAGATGGCGTCGTCCATGAAGTAGGCAAAATGTACTTCAACAGCCCGCCCATCGATGCAGATATGGCGGGAAACGCAAGTGCTCCGAGGATGATATCCGCCAGACTACTTGTGTCGGCTACCAGCTCATCCCGTCGACCCAAGCCCAATGGCTGGCCGTTTCCACCCTGGTTCTGCCCTTGTCCACCCTGCGCATTTCCGCCGTTAAAGCCAAACAAGCCCTGCGGCCCGTCCTCATTGCCCATGCGTAGCTCCAGATCTATCTCCATCAGGACGCCATTGTCATCGTTAGGTGGGTCTGGCTCGGGATGTTCGGGCGGCGCATTATCATCGAACTCATTGACATCCGAGCGCGGTTGTACTTCCGCAATCCATCTCCGCTCTAACTTTCCAAACATTCTCTCGTAAACGCTGCCGTAAAAGCTTTTGAGATATGGAAGAGCGGCGAACGTCACTGCCGCACTGGGCGGCCAAAGATCCAACTCCAGCTCCTGTCCCGGTTGATGTGTGGCAAAGAACATCACGGGGATGGCAGGAAGGAGACCATCTGCGTACCGGGTGCGCGAGAAGATCAACACGAGCGGGATGAGGGGCAACCCCAGGTTAAGCCCCGAATTCCATGCCCCATCAGCTGTTTCCTCCAAGATCTGGCGAGCCTCGTCTGTCCCGAAGACAAAATACATCGAATATACTCCATGCGCACAGCACCCCGCCCACACGGTTGCTCCTAACGTGAAAACCATTCCTGGGAGGACCATCCGACCCGCGAGGCGCTCAACCAGTCTTACTATATCCACAATATAGCTTCGGGGACGAGAAACGATGATTTCGGTCTTGCATTGCGGACACAGCATCTTTGCGTCATGGCCGTTGCGCCTCCGCGATCGGGGATTCTCGAGATCCGCCAACCAGTCAAGCAGGCAGGCTTCATGGGCGGTCAAGGCGCATGGACATGGCGAGCGCCATTGTGAATTAAGGGGAGAGTCCTCTGTCTCATCTGTATAGCAAATCCAACATCTGCGTGGTTCCTCACCAGAGGTATCGGCGAGAGTCGGACTTGTCGGGGAGCCATGGGCGGTGGCGGTATCCGAGGTGCCGTTGAGCAGGACGGTATCGCTAGCTTCAAACGATTCTGTCAATGAAGCGCTGCTGGTTATATTCGTGGATACGCTATTCTGTTGGGTAGTGGAGGTAGTATTATTATCAGATGACTGTGGTCGGCTAGAGGCCGAATAACCTGGGAGGGAGGCCATGATGTGGGAGACACAAGAGGGGTGGATACAACAACAGTAGTAGAGGAGTGGACGGGGAGTTACGGAAACAAGCACTGCATCATGTGTGGAGAGGGAGGTTAGTCAAGTTGCGTCAGTCACCAGATGGTGGGAGAGAGAGAGAGAGAAAGAGAGAGAACTGGAGGCGAGAACGGAGGGGAGAGAGAGTAGAGAGTTGAGAGTTGAGAGTCACAGCCCTATTAGGCAGCTCCGACATCTGCACTCTGCCCCAGCAGAAGCAGCAGAGCAGAAGCAAATAACTCAGTCAGTCAGCAACCAAGTCCGACGGTGTCTCAGTCGACCCAGGCTCTCAGTAGTCAGTACCAGGCTTAATTAGTGAGATACTCCGTACTACTTTTCCCACTTCCCAGCCCCCCGCTAGTGACCTTCGGATGTGAACCGCGGCTGTTCGGCGGCGAAACATAAAGGCGCGCATTCCGCGGACCCCAATTGTTCGGCCCTCACGTGATGCCGAGACTGATCACCTCACTTTGCGCCATCATGGCGGATGCAGCAATCTGGATGACTTGGAAATAGTAGATAAACTAGCTGCTCACTAGTCACTTAGCATACTCTACGTCGCTGCTCCAGTCAGCACTAATTATCGCGTCATCCAGGAACACTCATCCCTTTTCAATGCCTCATGATAGTATTTCCAAGGTCATACAAAAGATTACAGCAACATAAGAATTATATACAGCTGGATTTCCCACAACAACATTTGAGGCAACTTTTGCGCGCAAGCCATAATGCAAACGGTGAAAATGGAAAAAGCAATAAAAGGGAAAGGAAGTCCAAGCCCAGCCAGAGGTCTTTTCAGCTCAGGACCCCAGTACAGGACCGAGTGGAGCTACTATAGAGTGCTCTCCACGGCCCTGCACCATGCTAGTCCAGGGTTCTCTGGTCGAAGTAGACCGCTGCAGCTTGTCTCCGGGGCGCAGACCGGCACCCGCTAGCGTTTTAGAACCTGCCAGAAACGCCATGGATATCAAGAGATCAGGAATGGGTGGGCACTTTTGCAGCTTTCAAATAACAGGCATGGCAACTCATCGCTAGCATTCGCGGCTCACTTAGAAACCGGGAACTTTCCGCTTCTTCATCAGAGCCTTACGCTCCTTCTCCTTGGCTGCATTGCAAGAATTATATTAGCATTCATTCACTCAATCCGAACAATCATTGTGCATACCTTCGTCATAAACAAGGAACTCGTGCAGGGCACAGCCAGCGGGCACCATGGGGAGCACAGGCACCTTGCGATCAGTGAACACTTCCAAAAGGGCAGGGCCGTCCTGCTCGATAAGCCACTTCAGCTTCTCCTCAACCTCCGAGGGCTTGGTGCAGCGGTCCGCGGCAACACCCATGGCCTGGGCCATCGGGACAAAGTCGGGGTTCTTCTGGTGAGTGTGCGAGTAGCGGTCCTCGTAGAACAGGTTCTGCCATTGCGTCACCATACCCTGTTCCTCGTTGTTCAGGAGGAGAACCTTGACACCAATGTTGAACTGAGCAGCAGTGGTGAGCTCGGTCAGGGTCATGTTGAACGAGGCATCACCGTCGATATCGACGACAAGAGCGTCAGGGCGAGCAACCTTGGCACCGATAGCAGCGGGGAGGCCGTATCCCATAGTTCCAAGACCACCAGAGGTGATCATGGTACGGGGGTGGCGCCAGCGGAAGTGCTGAGCAGCCCACATCTGGTGCTGACCGACACCGGTAGTGATGACAGTACGGTCCTTCATGTGAGCAGTGAGATCGCTGAGTTTCTCAATGACAGCCTGGGGCTTGATGGGTCCCTCAGCAGTCTCCCTCTCATACAGGGAGAAGGGGAACCGAGCCTTCCAGTCGTTGATCTGGTCGAACCACTCCTTACGCTCAGCAACAGCCTCGACGTGGGGCAGGAGGAGACGGATGTTCTCAGCACAGTCACCCTCAACAGCCTCGTTGGCCTGGACAACCTTGTTGATGTTCTTGGGCATGATTTCGAAGTGGACGATACCACCACGGTTCTCCGAGGCAGCAAGCTTGGCCTGAGGGGCGAACTTGGAGATGTTACCGGTCACACGGTCATCGAAGCGAGCACCGATAGCGATGATGAGATCAGCCTCCTGCATGGCCATGTTGGCATAGGCAGATCCGTGCATGCCCAGCATGTGCAGGGCCTTGGGGTCCGTCTCGTCAAATCCACCCAGACCCTGGAGGGTCGTGGTGACCGGAATGCAAGCCTTGTCGGCCAGCTCCTTCAAGATCTGGGGGCCATCGGGGCGAGCAAGGAGACCCTGACCTACATACAGGATGGGCTTCTTGGAGATGTTCACAAGGCGGGCCACACGGTTGATGGTACCCTTGAGCTGCTGCATGCTCAGTTCACGGGCAGCCATGGTCGCAGCGCTGGGGAGGGAGGGCAGGGTGCTGTTCATAGGGATGGGTTTACGGAGAATACCGGCGGTGATATCCTTGGGCAGATCGACGAGGACAGGTCCGGGGCGGCCGCTGGTGGCGATTTCGAAAGCCTCCTGGATGCGACGGGGGAGTTCAGCGACGGACTTGACCATGACGTTCCACTTGGTGCAAGCACGGGAGATACCGATAACATCGGCTTCCTGGAAAGAGTCGGTACCGATCAGGCTGGTGGGCACCTGACCGCAGAAGACGACCATGGGAGTACCGTCGGAGAGGGCATCCTGCATGGGGGTGATAACGTTGGTGGCTCCAGGGCCGGAGGTGACGAGGACGACACCGGGCTTTCCAGAGGCACGGGCGTAGCCTTCGGCCATGTGTCCGGCGCCCTGTTCATGTCTCGGGAGGACGAAGTCGAAGTGTTTGGAGTTGTAGATGGCATCGAAAACGGGAAGAATGGCACCTCCAGGGTAACCGACTAAAAGTGGTGGGTCAACCTTATGGTCTTGAAGGATATCGGAAATCCGAAGAAAAAAAGACGCGTGACTCACAGACATGCTTGACGCCAAGACGCAGCATCATCTCATGGAAGATCTCTCCTCCACTGAGTCCGACAAAACTGTTTACGCTCCAATGACCAGGTCAGCTCTACTCCCATAATCATCTTAAATTGTTGAGGGGACTGCATACGAGTCGTCCAGTTCGGGGACCTGGCGATTTTGCAGTGGCGAGACCTCATTGCGGTGAGGTTCCTGGTTGAAGGCAGGGCTGGGGATCGGTCTCGTGTTTCTGATAATTCACAGGCATGTTAGCAACAGTAATCGACATCCCAGTAGCCAGCTGGATGCTAGTTGTAGATAATACTCACTCAGCCGGGGCACTTGCGGTGCTCTGGAATCTCTTCTGAGCTGAAAAGCGGTGGGGCGCGGTCGCAGCGACGGAAGCAGTAGTAAAACTCATTCTGCCAGAGGCAATGTACCTCTGGTAATGCAGAGCGCGCATGGCGCTTTTCGAAGGTCTCATAGGCATCATCTTGATGGCGGATGACTGCCAGGCCTGGGAACAGAGAAAGGGGAGTGCTCACAACGGGGAAAAAGAACGGGACCAGGAAGAGTGAGTAAGAGATCCGTTCCTTAAGGCAGGAGCGAAGACTCAGACTTCGGGGACGGTTATGGTTGCATTCTAGCCTGTCCAGGTCTAGCGCCGTTGGAGTCGAATAATCTGGGTTTTCCCATTGGCTACGGATACCCCACTGCTCCGATCATCGGCCCTCTTGGACGCGAAAGCGGTCACCTGATTGGGATGGAAGCCTCTCGTTTCGTCCTGTCTTCCCCAGAGCAACGCCTTGCAAGATCGCAATAATACAGGCGAGGGATGTTGATGATAGAAGTTGACGTTGCACAACCACGTATTTTTATTTTTCGGTAATTGTCATGGTGCGGCCTTTTGTCAAGGTTCCAACTGCTATACGAGCTTAGACTCAACTAGCCTGATCCACTGCTGACATACTTGTAGTCCTCATAGCAACCAAGAGACAGAGAAAATTAACTACAACCCGCAGAGTACATCATTTAGTAACTAGGGCTTCTACAGTTTCTATTTGAACTATAACCCCTTCAATGTGTGGTATTCACAAATTTTCGGATTTTCTACATATACTCCTACCGCGGGTGCCGGTCCGAATACGGCTCGCTAATGCATCTCCATCACATGCAGGTAACCGGCATGAAAAAGAAAGCAAGTATTGTATGATTCTACCCCAGTTACGATTTACTGGTGCAGTAATTCTCCGTGGAGGGGTTGTCTATCGACTCTAAAGATGACTCACTCAGAACATTGGTCAGCGATACCTGAACAATGCCCCCAATTCTCAAGGTCTAGGAACATGGTACCTTGGCCTTTGCACTTCCCTCATATTCATGAAGCTGGACCGAGCTCGGCTGAGCATACATAGGCTGCCTGCAGATTACTTGTTCGGCCTTGCGTCAAATATGCAGAGTTTCTGCCGCAATGGGAACTTGAGTATCCCATCCAGTTTACTCTACCAGACGGAGTACATGTTTATGTGCTCGTGACCTAAATAATGAGCCGTTGTGGTCCGAATGGTGTAGTCAGTCCTCCCGTATAAGGTAAGAACCAGAGAGGATATAATGTTGTATCGCCTCACATGAGTTGCGCATGAAAAATTCTCCGCGGGCTTTTTGTCCCTCCCCGGGTTACTAGAAGTAGGCGCATAGGTTCTGCTGGAATGAGCTCTTCCGAGATCGGGACCACCCGACCTTTGTGAAGTAACTCTTGAAGGTTACGGGATGAGCTCATATACCGAACAGAAACCCTTTCTTTTCTGGAAAAGTCTTTTGGAATTCAAGATATAAATTCTCCAGTTTCTTGATAACGATCGGAATGTGATGTTGTTACCCCACAATTTCCATCCAATACTAGTCAGTCTTGACTCGATCGGGCGAGGAAGCTAGCAATAGTTAACTGGGCCTGAACACCAATACCTGACTAAGAGCAGTATAGATTAATTATATTGTCTCTTGATTAGGGTGTACCAATTGGCTGGTGGTGGTTGACCTCTCTAATATTATACAGACGGCCGTGCGATTTGCAACGGTTGGCATCCACTCGGCCGTCCAGAAGCCGAGGCCACCTGGGTTCGGCTAAATTGGGTGTCTTGCGGGATTATGGGGAAGAGGATGCTTTACACGGTGTCGATTGGCTGGCACCTGTCGAATCCATTAACAATGAGGTAGTGAAAATGAGATAGAAGTGTGTTGAAGATTCAGCGGAAACAAAGACACAACGGCTCGCCGTCGACACAATAGCAGAAGGGTATCCCGACCGAGCTGGGGGGGACCCCAGGGCCATGCCGAATCAGCCGAAACACACGGGGAATCGGTTGAAAAGGACTGGAGAAGCGAGTCGGAGAGCCGTCCAGCGACTCCAGCGAGCGAGTGTCATTTCCGGGCAACTCCACTCTTTCCCCGGCCTTCAAGCAATCACACCTCCAGAACTATCCCGCCCGTGACCAGCCTGTTATGCTCAATCCGGAACCGATCAGGGTCTCTGCGGAGCACCACCACCTCGAATTTTTCCCTCCTATCCTGGCGATTCAGGGACGCTGACGTTTTAGCCGGTATTAATCTATTTGTCTTACTTTCTTGCTTTCTCCTTTTTCTCTCTCAGTCTTATTTTTCTTTTTCTTGCTTCTTCTCATCTTCTCCCATATCCCGCTCCCTTCGTGTGATCTGCTATTTTTCTTTTTCCTCCCATTTCTACCCCGCCATGGCAACCCCGCAGGAACTCGTCCCCCAGACAGAGTCCATCGCTGAGGTCTACGCAACTGACGATGCCTCCGTCACTTCAGTTGCGCCTCACCATCAGTCTCGGTTTAACAACCTGGTCTCCCAGTTCACCAAGGTTTACAGCCATCGTCCCGATTTCGTGGCCCGCAGTCCCGGTCGCGTGAACATCATTGGTGAGCACATCGACTACAACCTGTATGATGTCCTCCCTACAGCAGTAAGCGTGGACGTGATCATTGCTGTAAAGGTCGTCCCTGCGACTGGCTCCGACTCTGTTGTAAAGATCGCCAATGTCAACCCGGAGAAGTTCCCTACCCGCGAATTTGTCGTGCCTCGTGACACGGACATTGAAATCGACCCTAAGAAGCATGAGTGGGTTAACTACTTCAAGGCGGGACTCCTGGGCGCCCTGAAGTTCCTGCGCAAGCAGAATGCAGATGGCTCTTTTGTGCCTGCTAGTATGGAGGTCCTCCTGGACGGTAATGTACCTCCGGGTGGTGGTATCTCTAGCAGTGCGGCTTTTGTATGCGCCAGTGCCTTGGCTGTTATGAAGGCCAACAACCATGATGTCTCGAAGCAGGATCTTCTTGATTTGGCTGTAGTGTCTGAGCGTGCAGTTGGCGTCTACTCCGGAGGGTATGTTACCACTGACCACTCCATTTCACTATCCGATGCTAAACTCTACTGCTTACCAGCATGGACCAAGCCGCCTCCATCTTCTCTCGCCGAGGGTACCTCCTCTACACCCAATTCTTCCCTAACTTCTCCGTTCAGCACGTTCCCATTCCCAAGGCCGATGAGGAAATCACATTCCTTATGGCCCAGAGCTTCGTCACCTCCAACAAGGCCGAGACCGCTCCCCGTCACTACAACCTCCGTGTCGCTGAGTGCACGCTCGCTGCCGTGGTTCTGGCTGCCCGGAACGGCTTGACCCTCCCCAAGGACAACAGCTCCCTCGGCTTCAGTCTCCGTAACTTCCACAACGAATTGATGCGCAAAGAGGGCCGTCTCGGCGACCCCTTGGAGTACCAAATTGACTCCGTCATCCAGAGCACTCTGGAGCTTCTGACGCAAGAGGAAGGATACACTCGCGAGGAGATCGCCAAGCTTCTCGGTATTACTGTCCCAGAACTCGAAGACAAGTACCTTTCTTCCTTCCCCGTTCAAGCAGAGCGTTTCCTCCTTCGTCAACGCGCCCTGCACTGCTTCACCGAGGCCCGCCGAGTCTTGGACTTCAAGGCATGCCTCGCGAAGGCGAGCACCCTCGATGAAAGACGCATCCAGTACCTGGGTCAGCTCTTGAACGAGTCCCAGGCTTCTTGCCGCACCCAGTACGATTGCAGTGCACCGGAGGTGGATGAGATCTGCGACATCGCTCGTCGGGCGGGAACCCTGGGTAGCCGACTGACCGGTGCCGGATGGGGTGGCTGCACCGTCCACATGCTGCCCCAGTCCAAGGTCGAAGCTGTTACTAAGGCCTTGAAGGAGGAATACTACCTGAAGCACTTCCCTGATATCAGCGAGGAGAAATTGGCTGAAGCCATGGTCATTAGCAAGCCGTCTAACGGATCGTTCATGTATGTCCTCTACCCTAGGTTCTTCTCTCATTTGTGTAACGATACTAACGTAATTGACAGGGTCACGGGCGCAGCTATTGCCCAGGTTGAGGTGTAAAGGTAGTGTAGTGCGTCATATGGTTGGCATCATGAAGTTGGATCATTCAGCGTTGGCTTTTATTTCCCTTGCAGATTGCAAACTCAATCGCGACCCTTTGTGTCCAATTGGAATTTCCAAGCACTTGTGTATATCGTGTGAGAGTCTATGTACAAATGGGATTATCTTTGTGACGGGATCATCATTTTGGAATATTTCCTGCTTAGAGACAGCAGCACTGATGAGTGTCTGCAAGTTTCTGTCCCAATAGCAGGATATGTCGCAACCAGAAAGCCAGATCACTACTCCCAGGGCTCGAGGGTAACGGAATGCCCCATGATTCTACGCATCCTGCTGGAGTACGGACCTTTACAGTCCTGATAGCGTCTTCTCAAGACTCCAAAGTGCGCCATCACTCGGAGCAATGTTAGACCATGTATTCGCAACATAACCAAAACCCCCAACTCTCAAGCCTTCTTCTTCGCAGCCGCCTTTCCAAAGAAATCACTCATCTTCTTCATTCCCGTCGTATTAACCTTCTTCAAATCCCGAACTCCCCTCGACTCATTCGCCTTCTTCTTCTTTTCCTCTTCCTCCATCCTGCGCTTCTTCTCCGCTCTCGACTCCGCAGCCTCCTGATCCTCCACGCTCCTCTTCCGAGAGAAATCACCCAGCGACCTCGACGCCAGCGCCTCCGCCCTCAGCTTCGCCACAAGGTCCAAATGATCCCGCATCGGCTTGAAATCCCTCGGACTCTCCGGCGCAGCTAGTAACTCATCTATCCGCGCGCTCATCTCCTTGGATAGATAGCATTCTTTCATGAATGATAACGCCACAGATATCCGTAGGAGGTTGGCTACTCCTTCAGGAACCTTTACGCCTTCGGGGAGATCCTCCTTTGCATCTTCGTTATTTGTGGTGGCCTTCTCATCCGTTCCCTTCTCCTCGCTCTTATCTTCGCCTTCATTCTCCTTATTCTCCCCCGTAGCCGCCACATCATCCCTCTTCACCGCTATCAATGGCGTCGCCAGCGCCTGCCGGACAAACCTCTCCTCAAGACTCGGAGGCAACCCCGCACTAACCATCCTATCCGCCTTCGCGACAAGCTCCTGGAGAAGTTTCGTCTCGTTAAACCGGAACAACTTCTCATCGCCCGCTTCGACGGAGTCGCTTATCGCAGCGGCGCGGGCGTGCAGTGTCCCGCGGAAGGTTTCGTCGTATAACACATGGCGGAGGTGAGGCGGGAGGAGATCCTCGTCCAGCGAGTCGATGATGTCGTCTAGGGGTTGGAAGAGGTTGTTTTGTTTGGTGTTTGCGGTGAGGATGGGGATGAGGAAGAAGAGGATGTCGATGGGGGTGGCGAGGAGGAGTTGGGCTTTCTTGGAGATGTGCGCTGGCGGTTGGGGTGTGGATGAGGAGGAATCGGGGTTGCGCACGAGTAGGGTGCTTCGGGGTGCGGAGGGAGGAGACGAGAGGACGGTGAACTCGTATACGCCTAGTTTGGGATCGAAGAAGTAGCGGGTTGGTTCGGCGCTTCGCGGGTTGGGGAGGGTGAGAAAGCGTGCGTCGGCGCTGGCGGTGGAGGGGAGGATGAAGGTTTTCTTAGGGGTGGATTGCGCTGGGGGTGCTGATGTTGATGCTGCTGCTGCTGTTTGGTGATCGGAGGTGGATGGAGGGGATTGAGGTTGCTCCGATGGAGCGCTTGAGCGGGTTCGCATTGTGATGATAGGATATGTGGAAGGTACTCCGTATACAAGAGTATTATATGAGGTGGATAGGTGTTATGGGCGTTTCATCAGCAGCAATTGAGATTTGAGATTTGGCTATGAGATAGTGAAATGGAAATATTGACGGATACTCCGAAGGGGGAAAGTACAAGTAATAATGGTAATTGAAACGCGTCTTTTTCACTGGTTCAACGCGACACGCGCTAACCAATCATCGGCCGTTGCGACACAAGTCAGCGGGCAGGCATGCATGGGGCCTCAGGCCGCGGGCGAGAAAGGAAACTAAAGGCGGATTGGTTGCAGCTCACTTTCATTCCCTTGCATTTCATTTCATGCAGGCCTGCCGGTTCCTGCTCCCCCTTTCTTTTCTTCGTCAGAGTCTTGAATCCGTCAGGTGGCTGAGGTAGTTGTTGCTTTGCTGCTCCTGTCCTCCGAACCCCAGAGCCCCAGTTTCGAAAAGACGCCATTCCCCGCATCCCTTCGTTGAGTGAATATGGCAGGAAGGGTAGCACGATAGATAGAAGACGATAAGCGGGATCGGAATTCAATCTGCATTTTTTTTTTTTCCCTTTTCACAACCGGAAATACTCTATAATTGACACCGTGGATGCGATGACAAGCAGTGAGTGAGTGCCTTGTGTTTCTGTTCAGCTCGACCTTCTTTCCGTGCGCTGACGCGCTGCTTCTGTTGCAGTGGCCGAGATCTCGTGGCCGCCAAAGTCCCCTCGGGATGCCCTCTTGAGTACTCCGAATGGTCGCAAGAGGTATGAAGAATTGCAGCGACGTCGCGAACACCTGGGCTCGCCTTTGAAACACTCTGTCACTACTCCCGACTTACGATCCAAGGCGTCACAGCTTCTTAGCGACGGGGTGGACGAGGGTGAAGATGATGAGGATGAGGAAACACTACAGTTGAAGCTCGCGGCCATTGAGGCGCGTCTTAAGCTCAAGCAACTTCAGAAAAGCCGCACGAAGACGGGGACACCTGGTCCAGAGAGACATGACGGGGAGACTTTCTCTAGACCTGCGTCAGCCATTGGCTATTCCCAGGGACATGATGAGCCGTTAGGAACAAGAAACAATGGTCATGCGACGGATAGCAATGCCCATATCGATGATGTTCAGGTGCCGCTATCGCCGACGAGGCGTGCTGTTCCTCCCACGGATCCTGTGTCCCCGAGGAGGTATTTGTTAGGCATTGACAAAGGCCTCAGAAGTCGGGATGTGTCGCTGAAGCGTCCGCCAAGCTCAAAAGGAGCTGCTCAGTCAGCAAGTAGACCTGGGACGCGAGATGGTCTAGTCTCTCGTTCTGGCAGTCTTCTGCAAGCAATAACCGTGGGTGGGGAGCGCAACCGTCCAAAGAGCTTCAGTGAACGTATGGCTGAGAGCCGATCTGCCGATGCGTCTCGGAGAGAACGAGCAGCACGAATGGAGAGAATCCAGGCAAATCGAAGCTCTGCCTTCCAGATCGATAAAGCGGAAGTGGAGGCCTTCAAAGCAGCTGCCGAGTCAAGGAAGGACGTCCCAGCTTCGCCAACGAGGAGGCGACGGGCCGAAAGCTTTAGTCGAGAAGATGTCCTCCGGTCATATAATCTAAAGCCGTCGCTGAAACGGGGCCGGAGCCAGACCACGTCTAGCGTACAGAGATCTGATGATGGTGCGGCTGATGCGAAGGAGTCACTGCCATATTTTCACCGACGGAACCACAAGTCTGAGTCCGAGGTGCCGGCCAGCTCTCAAAACAGTGCCACTGATGATTCCCAAGGCGAGAAAAGTGGTGACTCCTCAAAGTTTGAAGCATTCTCTTCCTTGCACTTGTCCAACCGCATCCTACCCCATTCGTTCTTGTCTCGAACCCTTGAAGACAAGAAAGCTCTTAAAATTCCTGATCTCTTACGCACAGTGAAGGCGCCTGACTTTGAACTGCCAGAGGAAATCGACACAGACTATGTTGTATTCGGTATAGTAGCATCGAAATCAGAGCCCAGGCAAATCAAGCAACCGGCCAACACTACTAAGAAGGAGGTTGATCCATTTGACGATGGAACTAACAACACCAACCAATACATGGTCATTACTCTGACAGATCTGAAATGGACAATTGATCTCTTCCTTTTCGACACTGCCTTTCCACGATACTACAGAATCTCCGAAGGAATACTCATTGCCATTCTGAACCCCACAATCATGCCACCACCCAAGAACAAGACAGACACCAACAGGTTCAGTCTCGCCATTTCCTCATCTGATGACAAGATCCTAGAGGTCGGCTATGCGCAAGACATTGGATTCTGTAAGGCCGTTAGGAAGGATGGCAAGACCTGCCACTCATGGGTTGATGGTCGGAAGACAGAATTCTGCGACTTTCATGTCGACCTACAGGTCCGTCGAACACAAGCAGGTCGAATGGGAGTAAATGGCGGCACAGGCATGTATGGACCTGGTGGCCGCTCAGGGTCTCGAACCGGTTTCTACGGCGGAGACAAGAAAGTTCGCCCCCAGAATGGACTGAAGCCAAGTGGCGCAAGATACGACTATCAATCACAATCGTCCTATTACGTTGCACCGGCTCCAAAATCCAGGGGCGGCGGACCCTCCTTCCACCCTCACCCGTCTGGCCAGTCTGCCGCAGCCCTAATCGATGCAGATCACGACGACCCTTTCATCGCCGCCGGAATGATGGGCCGTGGCATGGAAAGCAAAGAAGAGCGCTTCCGCCGACGACTCGCAGAGAAGAAACGCGAACGCGACATCGCAGAGAGGCTTATTTCCCGTTCCGGGGGTGTTGGCGCTGAATATCTCCGATCACGAGATAACAACAACGTCCTTTCACCGCACCCCGAGCAGGCAAAGAACAACTTAGATGAATTTTCCACTACCAATCTGGGCATCTCAAACTTCAGAAAGGCAGACAGTGTGAAGCTGAGCCCTCTGAAACGCGCCCATGACGGCGACAGACCCCACGGCAGCGGTGTCAAGAAGACCCGGTTCATAACTTCCCATGGCATCAAGGAAGCCGGAAGAGACAGTTTAGGAGGAAAACCCGACATGGTGCCAACGAACAATGATGATGACGATGACGATGAACTAGACATCATCTAAAGAAAAGCAGCCTTTTTTTTCCAGTGTTATGAAAACAAAATATAGATACCCTTCGTTACCTGCAACGCAGTTGACCCCCGTCCTTCTACGGCGAATATTCCATTGAAATATCAGTGATTCCAGTGTCACTCACCAGCAAATACAGACACTCGCTAGTCCGATTAAACATAAACAGCAGAAAGAGAACATAGTCGACTACTCACTCCTATTTGACACCAACTTACCACTTTCCTTTTCCTTAGCAGCAGAAACATGAACAGCAACAGAAATCAGATACACCATCTTGGTACCCACTGGAATATCCCCCCTTCCTACTTACTACTCCTACAACAAGAGAATGAATGAATGAACGAGATTTTTTTTTCTTTCCTTATTTGTCTGTCCTTCCAACGAATGACTAACTGACTCATGATGTTCTTAGCACGCTTGTCCTTTTTTTTTTTTCTCTTTCTTTCTTGATTTGTACGAGTACCCCCTTTTTCGCTTTTCTTCTTCCCAATGAGTTCTTGCGGATTATCTGGGAGATAAAGTGTATTATTAGCAGAGTACCTGCCATTCTTAGCTTGAAATATGAGATATGAAAATACAAATACTAGCCTTCATTGAACAAGAATTGTTTGTATGTGGGAACTGTTCTGAGGTGATATGGTGAAATCCTAGTACTTACTAATAAGTACTACTGGAGGGTCGAGAAGGGATATCCTTGTATGGGTGTATGTAGTGACTTGTTTAAGCCACTATGTATGTCTGGTCATGTTTATAATGAAGAAGCAGAGTAGGAAAAGCAGACATCACAATTTCATGTTCATTGAATGGTATCTAAGTTGGTTGTACGAGAGAAATTGAAACTCTCAAGCTAGCTAACTAAGCTAAGTAGGTAGAAAGGCCGAGATTCTCAAGCCAAGTCAGTCACAGAGACAGAAGCAGTGGAAGGGAGTAGAAAACACGCCGGCAATATGAAAATAAGAAGCATTGGAGAAAAGAAGAAACAAGAGGCAAAGAGAAAAAGAAAAGAACAGAAAAACTCCATCCCATGTGCCAGTCCAGCCCATTTACCTATCCGTCCGTCCCATTTAGCCCATAGTATCGCGCCTGTTCCCTTTTCCGACTGATCACTCGGAGTTATTGTTATGTTCAAGACAAAAGACAATGATGCTTTTGTAGCTGATATCAAACACATGGAAACTGAATTGAGGACAGCCGGACACATTAAAAAAACCTATTATAGTCGACCTATTGAGTCAAGGACGCCAGTGAATATCGAACGAGAAGATAGAAGAACGCTGAAAACAAGGACGCTCGTCAAGAGATTGTTTTTTTTCTGCGGTAGAATCCGTGACGGCAGAATCAAGAGGGAAGACTTTGCTTCCGATGGCTTCAAGGTTCCACTGGTAGTCTTGCATATAGGCGGACAAGATCATGCTCATGACGCAGTCGCTTTGTTGCCTCGTGTCTTCTTAGGAGCTGGGCCACCAGGGCTGCCAGCGGCTTCGGCATCTCGCTTCTTGGCTTTGGTCCCTGTCAGAGCAGGAGCTGTCTTTTTGCGGAGCCAGCCATCGAACGGACTAACGCGCTTTTTCTTGGTTTCGGAGGCCGTGGGTGTTTCACTATGCTCGGGGCCATCCCGCTTGGATCGCGAACGCAGTGACCGCACCGTAGCCCCGGGTGACGCAGGAGTTGCAACGGAGGATTGCGGGGGAGGAGTGACTGGCCGTTGCTGCATCTCCACGTCAACCGCAGGATCTTCATCCTCTTCGACTTCATCGTGAAGCAGGTGATCCTCAATATCAGTGGCTGCCTCCTCATCGACATCGCTCGAGCGAGATTCTTGGGGAGTCTGCGACTTCGCGGTAGGGAAGAGCACACGAGGCTTGATTGACGAGCGAGTCAGTGGACGAACATTGTGGATAGATGAGTCGATGAGGTCCGGACGGGCGGCCAGCAGGCCCAAGTCATCATCGTCATTATCAAGGTCGCTCTCAGCGTCATCCGTGAACTTGCGGAACATTTTCTTGCCTCGGCTGCGGGATATGTTAGTACACACGACAAAAGTAGAGTAGGGAAACTTGTGGAAGTGAACTTACAAAACGTAAAGCATGCCATCCTCACGATTGAGCGAGTCGTCTATTTCCTTGTCGCGGCGGCTCTCTTTGCGTCTGGAGGCACGAGTAGTCGTATTGCTGACCGTGGGTTTGTTGTAGAACGGGTTATCTTCGCTTTCGTCGACTTCCGGGATGCGATCGCGCGAGTCGGTGTAAATTTGAATCTCGGAGCCGCCCTGGGCGTTGTCTTCGCAAAAACTATCCAACGAGAAGCCTGTATGCTTCTTCGTCTTCTTTCTGGCGCTAGGGGGTGGAGGGAACAGCACTCGTGCGGTATTTCCAACATCCGCGACAGCCTTCTTGCGAGGCGTCTTGGCTGGAGTGGGAAGCATTCCTTCGGTCATAGTCGGTCGAAGTGATCGCGATTGATGCCGGAGAGAGGAAGGTTCTGCGCCGAAGGGATCCGAGTCATGTGTGCCGGAGGGGCCTCCAAGTGAATGTGTCGCAAACAAGCCGGTAGCTCGGGCCGACTTGAGCTTCCGGGGCGAGGTCTGAACTGAGCCAGGAGGAGATAGTGTGTCGGATTCATCCAAGTCGTACTTGTTCGCGGTGGTCTTCGAGCTCGGGAAGGTAGGCGGGGGAGTGGTACGGGACTCTCTGTCTCTGGCAGCACGTTGGCTCGCTAGCCTGGCTGAGTATCGCGTGGAGTATGGTTCATAATCATCGTACTTAGCTCCAAGTCGCGGAGTAGGCGGGATCCGTAGGGTGGAGGGCGGTGGTGGTGTTGTGGCCATTGTGAATAATGACGCCGAACACGGGCTAATACAGGTCAAGTGTGGCTGTGGACACGCTCAATAGCCCCAACTTCGAGTGCACAATAATACCCAGCTAAACAGATAGATGCGAATCCAAAAGAATTGAGATATATAAGCGTGGTGGGTGATGAGAATCAGGCCGTGACAGGTTCAAGGGCGATAAAAAGGGAGGAAAACGCCAAAAGCCGACCGTGTAATCCAAGGCAACAGGGCGCGCAATATCGATGGGCGTGCCACTATCAAAGAGCAGATCCAAGGGAGCGAGACCAATGGAACGGTAGTAGCCGTAAACAAAGAAAGGAGGAGGAGGTGTAGTGGTAGTGGTTGTGGTAGTAGTGGTAAGAGTGGATGTAAATTGTGGATGTGAGGGAGAGAAGGTGGTAGTTAGTGGACTGGGGAAAGGGAGGGAAGAGAAGACGAGGTGAGGTTCAGAGAGTGGATGGGGATGGCTGGTGCCCGCGATCTGGAATGTTTGGCCCGCTTTGGTGGTGCTTCCTTGTCGCGTCCCAGCCACACCTTTTTTTTCCCCTACACGCCTTCTTCCGCCTCGTTTAGTTAGGCTTTAACAACTAACCAACTAACCAACCAATTGCTTGGGTATCGACTAGATAGACTAATTCCATAGTCGGGCTATTATACTCTCCCATCCCTAACGACTGGCTGAGACTGCCCCACGATAATTAGCTGTCGATCGGCATTCTTCCTTTCTTCATTGGTGGTTATTTCCCCTTCCCCTCCGCCAGCTGGTGCATTTCATTATTCAACTACTCCGATTTTGTATCCTCGTTCCCTTTCAAGATCAAACAAAACAATCATTGTTGTTTCCACAGCCACGTCTCCCCCCCCCACCATAACCACCACCATCACCACCACCAACACCCATACTATCTATCACTCCTTCTAAAACACAATGACGCACCGCAGCACCGCAGAGGAAATGGACAGGCTTCAGCTGTCGGATGATGACTCTGATGACCTTTGGGATTCCCCCTCCAAACGCGGAAATAAAATGCTACACCACAGAGCTGTGAAGGAAGAAAGCATGTCGCCAGAACCCACCATTACCCATGACGGAGGGGAAACTCTGTTTGACCGTCAGGAGGCGCGGGAGGCCGCATTGCGCAGTGAATTGGAAAGCGTCCGCAAGATCAACCAGGTCATTGAGGGGCTACTAGGAAGCTTGGATTGTGCTAAGGAGAACATGGGTGTAAGTTCAAGTCCAACTTACCGGTATCGACCTTCTACAATTGCAATTGCTAAACCGCCGATGATGATCTGTAGACTGTCTCGCGCACCATAGACTCCGCTTCCACCTTGCTCCAAACCTGGACGCGAATCCTCTCCCAGACCGAACACAACCAGCGGTTAATCCTCAATCCTAATTGGCAAGGCGCCGTTCAAGATGTGGCCGACATGGAAAACGAAGAAATCCTCCGGCAACAGGCAGCAGAGAGACGCGAACGGGAACTTCAACAGCAAAGGGAAGCTGCTGCCCGGAAGGCTGAAGAAGACCAGCGTAAGAGAGCGCTGGCTGCGGGCACCCGCACTACACGTGGGACGGCCACTCGTGGACGGGTGGTGCGTAGCGGTCTGGGAAGGACACCAAGCACCTCATACTCAGGAACAAGCTCCAGCACAATCAGGACTACCGCTTCTTCGACATCCAAGCCATCGACGACCTCCACGACGCGTAGACCGGTCAGTGGGATCGCGCGGGGCACAGGAATTGCGCGGGGGCGCGGCAGGGTGTAGAGGAGGCAGGCATGAACAAAAACGATTTTCCATGTACAGTACTACGAGAGAGGAATGACAATGATGATATGATGATACCAATTGAAGATGACATGCGGATACGTGATGAGTGGTGGAAGTGAGAAGAATGTAACCAGCAGCAGCAGCAGCAGCAGCAGCAGGAGCAGCAGAGCAGCGGGGAAGTGATGGCTGCCTGAGGCGACGAACTGCGGTACCGCGATAAAGCTACTTACTTGAAACTAGTAGCTCAAAGCGTGGGCTGATAAGCGCGTCTCCCGTCCATCCATCCCGTTTGTCTGTCCTTACTTTTCTCTCCTGGCTTTCGTTTTTTCATCTTCCGCTTCATCGCCTGCTCAAGATGAACTTTGCGCCTTACCAGGACGAGTCCCCCGAGGTGGAACGCGCCTTCTCGCCGTCGCTGGCCGACGCGAATCGCATCAAGTCCCCCAATCTTCGATCGCCTCGCGGATCTCCTCCCGTCCCCGGACTCGCTTCACCGGGGCTCCCCTCCCCCAGTCAGTTCGCCGGTGCGGGTCATATAAACACCAGTGGACATGGAAACACGGGATTTGGCAATGATGTGGAGAGCGGTCGTTGGAATCTCGGGGCTTTCGACACCAGTCTCCCCATCCGTATGGATGTTGAAGCTATGCTGGCATATTTGCTTCTGCCTCCTGCCGGTGGTGTCTTCCTCCTGTTGGTAGAACACAAGAGCGACTATGTTCGGTATGCTTCCTCCTTTCTCACAACCCAGAGATATCTCTTTGCCAGATTTGCTGACACGTCTTGAAGCTTCCACGCCTGGCAATCGAGCATGCTTTTCACCGTCATGTTTGTAAGTCACGCTATCCGCCGATTCGACCGTTGACACCTCTAACACGTCATTCAGATACTCCACCTAATATTCTCCTGGTCAAGCTTCTTCTCATGGCTCTTGTTTATCTGTGATATTTCAATGATCGGTTTTCTCAGCATGCGGGCTTATCGAGATGGTGTGTTCTCACGATTGCGCAACGATAACACAAGCTGACCACACTTTAGTTGACACTCTCGAACATTTCGAAGTCCCAATCTTTGGCCGACTGGCCAACTCCTTTGTTGACGATGAATGAACTCTCTATAATAACTGCATGATATTGCTCTTCACATGATATGTGTCCCGAGGCTGCTCGCCTGATGCTTCTTAAGCCACCTTGCCTGGACAATCTTCCTGATCAAGGACTGGTGAGCCTTCCATTGTACAGTGTCAATTGAACATATTGCGGAACCTCTTATGTCTTTATAATCTGTTATTTGCTGGCCTGCTGTGCATGATGCTCTGCTATGTATTCCTGTCACTACCCATCATGCTGTCTTCACTTGAATTGTAATATCTCTTTATCACACCTTTCTAGCTGCTCCATACCGTGCTTCGTCAAGTTCCGTCGTTGCCTACCTGGCTGTGAAGTCTTAACAAAATTTTCACCTTGTAGTGATGCTGAAAACTTGATTCACAGCTTTCCGTGGAATAAACGTCGACACAATGGCTCGGCGTGTGCCCCAATTCACCACACTTTGGCATATAGAAAGATTTCTTTCTGCGCCTGGCAAAGATGCCATAGCTCTCTACTCACCATCTTGCAGAACAACCAGCGAGAGTTTCAAGCCAAGATTTCCAGACTCATTTGCATGGCTCCGTATTATCAGCCAGAATTGAATCGAGAAAGCAGGAAACTCTTTTTTTAACCTCTTAACAATCGATGCCCTTTGATCCAGGGCCAATAAAATCCTCCAACCGCAAACTTTCCACTCTACTACACTTCTGCATGCACCAAATCCTTCTGAGACAGTCAAAAAATGTGCCACATCCAGCGGGTCTGCAACAGTTGCGGACATATTAACGACCACGTCTACCTCGTCTGCAACATCGCCAAAGCCGCAGCTGACACGAATGGAAATGGTGAACCATTCCAGCCCGGTCTCAAAAGTCTTACGCCGAAAACCATCTGGGATAAGATTTCCCAGGTTGGATTCCACGCGTCCACACAACCGTATTGCAAAGACGGTAGAATACGTTGTCTGACAACTCCAGGAGGTTTTAGATGTATGGTGGAGGGATGCGGCCGTGCAGACTAAACCGAAGAGGTCAACGAACTCTCTAACCCTCCTATGATCACCTTCACGATAGACAACCTTGAAATCGAAATCGACCTGCTATTGCTTGCCTTGCAGGCATATCTTCTCCCTCTTCGCGTCCGTCAAAACTTCACACGCTGGCATGTGTTCTCTAGATTGCTAGGGCTCGATTTCTCTCTCTCTCTCTATCTTTGTTTTGTACGATACATGTGCGCGGGCATCTCATCTTGTATCAGTTGGTATTGGTTTCTGAGCATTTCCTAGACGTCCTGCAGGTTCTATACCCTTTTGCTGCTCTTATTTAACCAGTGGGCTGGCGGGCTGCCACCTGATGAGGCCTCCAATTGAGCTGTCATTTTGTGGTAACCGGTTGCATTGTCTTGCTCGCTCGGCTCAGTTGGTCTCTCTTTGTGGGCTGTTTGGCCAAGCCTACAAACATTGGTTAGGTTTTTAGTTTCGAATGGTGACTCTTATCTGGGAATTATTACACGCATCCCCAACGAGATTAAGCTATAATGATTTGTCTAGTCATAGAACGTAGTACGTATACGCAAAAAAATAATAGCGCCCATACGCCAAGTTATTATTCAAATATCTCAACGCAGCTAAATCAAAAAGAAAAGACAAGAACAGAAGAACTAGTCCGTATCTTCAACGAAAGACAATCCGAGCAAAATCAAGCACACAGGTATCGGAGATTCAGCACACAAGAAACACAATCAAGATCAACAAAAGAGGTCCAAAGAGGTGGCAACCAATTTTGACATGCTAGAGACTTGGGAGAGAGAAAACGCATAAAGAATGTGCCATGGAAGGGGAGGAATAGATACTACTAGACCCAAAGATTAGAAGATGTGGCAAAGAAGAGACAAATGAGCACAATTTGGTATCATGATCATGAACACGTGATTAAGTAGGACATGGTTGGGTCATAGATGGGGTGATGGAATGAATGATTTGGTTGTTGTTGGTTCATGAGATAGGCATTGATCGTGTTTTGTCGTTTGTTTTTTGTTTAGGATTTTTCGTCTTTAGATGATTTGGAGGTAGTTGCTCGGGACTAATCCGGTTCGGCTGCGTGCGGTGGTGATTTCGGCTTCCCACCAGCCGTCGTCTTGAAGGCGGATTACTGATAGGACGTCGCCTTTGCTGAAGCCTAGCTCTTCGGGGATGGCGGCGGTGTAGCTGTACATGGCTCGTGCTGCAGGCAAGGTTAGTTGATTATTGCTATGGGGTTGGAGAGGAGGAAGGGGTATTTACCGAAGTGAAGGATGGGTCGACCGTCGCGGCTGAATTGTCTGCTGGGATCGGCAACAGCGACTGTTCTGCTCCTGGACCGACTCCTCACGCTCGCGGCCTCGTCGTAGTATGACATGGGTCTACCACTGCCACGTCGAGAGCCGTACCCGTCACGACTGCCAGCATACATGTCGGGTTGTCCAGAAAGCTGAAGCTCCATGCCTCCGGCGCTGGATGGCCGGGTTTGTTGTCTGAATTGCGGCTGTGGCGAGACGGCACGGGGCATTGTGTTCTGAGGCTGTCTGTATTGAGGCTGCGGGGACACGCCGCGCGGTGCCATGGTGGGAGACTGCCGGTATTGTGGCTGAGGAGACACGGCACGCGAAGATCCTCTTCGGGCATATTCTGCAGTTGGAGATGCATCCACGGGACGCTGGGATGGCGATGGGACGGTTGGCGATTGGTTGTACCGGCTTCTCATGCTGCTGCTCGAATGGTAAGTTGGACTAGGGCTAGCCGCTCTACTGTATTGCCCCATGCGGGTGTCAACTCGAGGGCTGACATGAGGGCTCGCACTCCGTCCTGGACCGGGTGAACGAGCCCGTGTGGCCTCCTGGGACTGTCCACCGTGTCGGCTTGTCAAAGAAGGGGGCTTGCTCGAGCCACGAAGCATACTCTGGGCCTGGCCAGTGTATCTCTGAGTTGTTTTCTGCATCTGCGCTGACGTGAAAGCGGGTTGCGGAGCGTCGAGGCGTTTCAGGGATGAATCGTTGTAAGCGGGGGGAGGTGTGCTCACAGCACCTGGGTTAGCAGCTACTGGTGGCACTGGAGTTGCAATTCCATGGTATCTGTCAGCAGACACACGAGTGGTTGATTGCTTCCCTGCTACTTTCAGATCTGCAAGAGCTCGGGCAATCGGATCGAGCTCCTCTTCACCAGTCTTGGCTGCTTTCGAAGGCGATCCCTTCTTATCCTTGTCAGGGGAGTCCACGTCGAAAACATTGTTTCCAACATTAAGCTGGAAATTTGCCCTTGGATCCACGGGCTCGGGGCTTCCAGATACTCGGTCGGGGTCGGGAACCGAAATTGGCTGTTGGGGTTGAGGAGCTTTAACGGGACTGGTGGACTTCGACGGTGATTCCCAAGTGCCGCGAGAAGGTGGTTGAGATGGGCCAGACTGGCGGTCTTTATCATGGCGACTCTTGCGTCGGAAGGGACTGTTGCTGAAGAACGCACTCCTCTTCTTTTGTACCTGTTTGTCTGCCCCTAGACCTGGAAGGGCTACACCATTCGTGGGTTTCGTGGGTGATTGTCTGGCACTTGGTGGCTCCTGACTCGACATCGATGTAGGGTTTGACACTTCGCTCTGGGAATCCCGACTGGACGGTCGGTAGGCGCTATTGGATCCCGAGCTGCGCTCTGAAGGCGGACCTGTCCTGCAAAACATGGTCATACCATCGGTTGGATAAGCGTTGTGTGGCACCTTTGCAATTTCGCCATGCTGGTTGGGGTCATAGTTCGGTGGAAGCTGACCACCACGTCGTAGATCCAAGGGAGCGGGTTGCTGCATCGGTTGCTGCATTTGTTGCGGCATTTGCTGAGGCATTGGCTGTGGCATACTCGGTTGCTGCACGGGTGGCTGCATTGGCGGCTGCATAGGCTGCTGCACTGGCGGATGCACCGGCTGCTGGATTGGCTGTTGCGGCTGTTGCTGCATAGGTTGCTGCACATGTTTTTGTACGGGCTGCTGCATTGGTTGCTGTGGTGGTTTTTGCGGAGTGACTGTAGCTTCCCTGCTCGAAGGAGTGGACGGGCCGTTTATCTTGGCTGCAATTTCAGCATCGGGATCAATTTGAGGCTCGTACGAAGAAGGCTGCGGTGATGAAGTGCGATATGCCGGGTTTATCGTCCGTTGGAACTGGGCCACCGAGTACCCTTCTTCTTCAGATACTTCCGAGCTGGTATCGTTGATGTCGCCCCGGCAGAAGTTGATAAACCTGGGAGGGTCAGGAATGTCCTGACCGGTTCCTTTCTCTTTGATGAAGTAGATAATGTCCTTTTCGACCTCGCAGTCCTCCAGGGAAAGTCGGATTTTCTCACAGGACTATTGATCGTTAGCGGAAGCCCGGAAGTTGGGTTGATAGAACGTACCGCATCATCACTGACGCAGACAGTTGATGCAATATTCGCATACGTCCAGAGACTGCTCTTTGTAAAGTCAAGTCTCTCTTCCTCGAGATCTTGGAATTTCTGGAACAACTCATCAGTATACAGACGTCAAGACACAAGACAAGTTGCCGATCGCACGTACATCACAAGCTGCTTTCCACTCCTTGTTCCAGCGTGTAGTAGTCTCTTCGAGAATTTTAATAGCTGCTTCATACTCGCTACTGCTCGATGCCAGCTGTATTTGCGTCTTCTCCAATTTCGCTTTGTTCTTACGCTCTTCGTGGCCCATAACCATGTGGCCTTGAGCCAAATAACCCTTGATCCGCAGGCAATCTTGTTCATACCGATCTCTGGTCTGCTTTGTTCAGTACGGTCCTGTGCACTTTTCCATGGGCAGGGCAATCTACCTTGTTGACAGTCTGAGTCTGTTGGATTTTAGTCTTCAGAAGACGCTCAATACCGTTCTGTATGATCTTTCTTCGCTCCTTGGAACCACCGGCGAAAGCAATCAATGGCTCCTCTAGCTCTCTCTTCATCTGGCCCGCAATTGCTGCGTGGGCCTTGGCAATAGCCTCAGTCTCACCGCGGACGGTATCGAAGGACGACCGGAGGGAGCCTATCTCTGTTGATCCTAGTGGTTTGCGACATAGTGCTAGAAGCTTTCGCGCGTACTCATCCTCGATAGCAGCCCGTACTAATCATCATGTTAGAACACAAACGGGCCTCTTACTGAGCCCAGGATCGGCCGACGTACTGTTGTAGAATGTCTTTAACTCATCACACGATACTTTGGACGTGTGCATTCTATCCAACATTGGCCCAACACCCGCATCTTCCTTGCCCCAAAAGTTGTTGGCAACTGTAGAAGTCGAAGTGTTAGCTGTACATGGAACTCGCTAATCGAATGTCGAGGTACTATACAGGACATGGCCACTGTTGGCCCATCTGCAACTGTGCCCGGCATTTTGGCAGATTATAGTCCGGTAAAAGTGTAGAGCTTCGGCCAGCCTTTGCTCATCTGGTTATCGGTATCTAGGGATATGGACAATTTGAAAGGTAACGCAGAGCGAGCTGTAAGAAATGTTGAACAACCCGAGAACCCCACGGCGACGGAAAACCAAACGAAGATGGCAACCTGGATGCCCCTGGAGAAGCAAGATAAAGAACCAGAATTTCAGAAAGAAAGAATGGAGAAAGCAGTACAGATGGAACTGGATCTGGTGGAGTTAGCCACAAGCTACGCTGTGGAATGGAGATGGCTGACGCTGTCATGTTTACACTGGCGTGTCTCTCGGGGCAACCGGCGGTAGAATCACGGGGCAGCGTCAGGCAGCCCAATGACCACCTCATCTTCCTCGAGGGCCCATCAAGGGATATCCGCCGGTGGCTATCATTCTCTCCCACTGAACGGAACCTGACGAATGGTATGGATTCTTGTTCCTGTGACGCCCTTCCCACACTTTATTTGCGCCCTTCCTTGGCTTGTAGGGTTTTAAAAACCCTGAGGTCGGTCATTATCCATCCATGGATGTGGCTGGTCCCGAGGTCTCACTGATGGCGCACGAAGAACGCAATTTACCCATACATTCATTCTCCTTTCAAAAACCCCCTATTACCATCTATCCTGCG